TATTAAAAAAAAGCTTTACAGGTTTGTTTAAAAAAAACGTCAAAGATACACGTATGTGGTTGGTGCAGGTGAGTTATACGGCCAGGGGGACATAGTTATAGGGGGATAATCGTAACGATCAGAGAGATAGTGAAATATAATTTGTTCATTAACTTTTTTTTTAAATAGTGAAAATAAACATATGGCTTCAATTAGAATCTTGCTGAGCATCATCGAAAACCACTAAATCAACTATTTACGAATATATAAGACAGGGGCAGCATTTTCCGGCGTTCCGAAGAAACGCTCAGTTTGGACGCGTTTCTGGATTTCGATCTCGTATCGGAGTGCATCGTTGCGCCCAGGTGGTTGTTCCCGCGATCGTGCTCCCCGATAGTCATGGAGCGAAGCCACCCCACCGGAGAGCACAAAGTAGGGATCACGTGCGTTGCGCGTCTCATCCACTGGGGAGCAGGACCGCGGGCGCAAAGATGCGCTCCGATAAGAAACCGAAACCTAGAAACCCGTCCAGATAAAGCGTGTTTACGGAACGCCGTAAAATACTTCCCCTGCGTTATATCTTTCTAAAAAGAGTTGATTTAGTTGTTTTCGATGGCACTCAGCAAGTTTCTGATTGGGATCATATGTCTATTTTCTATAATAGAACGATCTCACTAAACGTTCGGTGCATGCGTAACGCCGCCATAACTTTAGTGCACAGGACGCGGACGGCAGTGCACGAGAGGGCTCGGGGCATCTCGTGCTCTACACGCGCAGAGCTCCAGCGAGGTTGCCGCACGTGCAGAAAGACTAAAGTTCCCTTTATGCATCGCTGCAGCGGTGGCGTAGTCAAACTGGCTGGTGAGATCGGTCAATTTAAAAGTTAATTAACAAGTTTTACTTAATTAGCCGACGGATCGTTACGATTGGCTTCTTATACTATGTCCCCCTGGCCGTTTGACTCACTTGCACATACCGCGTAAATATAGCTTTCACGGTTGTTGTTGTTGTTTTTAACGAATATTTAAAGCTTAAGAAAAAAAACATCCTGTATAGACCTTTCCAGCGGCAGCCCCAAACAAAGTGATTTACAGCGGGCGTCCCTGGTTTTGAGAGTGTACGTCAGTGTTGCCCGACTGCGCTGGGCTGTGGCAGCCTGTGTAGGCGGAATTTCGGATGCTGGTGGCGACTACATTGCCGCATCTTATTTTCTTTTTCTTTTGTGTTCCATGGCGAATATAATTTCTCAAGGTTTTTAAGAAGGCATTGTACATTTTTTGGGAGGAACAAAAACAAACAAATGAAAAAAATTTTTGTTGAGTCTGTGCGCGACGGAACAAATGCAACTGGAATCATAGCCTCCTTTATAGTCACAAAGCCTGACAGTTCGACGGCGGAGCCATCGAGTGCCCGGTCGCAGATTTGGAGCGCGAGGATCTGGTAGCACAGAGCATCAGAGCCATTTCTTGAGGAACCTGGACGTCAGCGCACAGCTTTTGCAGCGGCGAGGATCCGAAACACACTTGTTGGCTCGGGAGAAGTGTGATTCGGCATCTCGTCGCAGTGGGGCGCCAGTCACGTGGCTTTCCTACCATCCCTTGCCTGCCGCTCTACCTTTTCCATTTCGGCGGCCGCTTCTTGTGGCGATCTGCCAGGCTTCGTCAGTATATAGGAGGCTATGCTGGAATGCTTGTTTCATTTTATGGAGATTCTTTTACAGCACCATACACTCAGCCATGTCAATCTACAAAGGTCTTAACTGTCAAAAATATTTGACCACACAGGATAGCCGAACTGCATGGGCATTCCCCGCTCACAACAACAAAATCAACGAATCTCATCAATCGAACAACATGTATTGTACGTACCCCACGGTGCCGCGTTACTCGAAAAGGATTTGAGAAAAGTCTCATCTAACACAGCATATTCAGTACACAGTATTAACGATACTCACCTCACGACGATCGGACGGAATCCAGCTTGTTTTGGGGCACGTTTTGGAGAGAGCTGCTTTTTTGCACCGCACCAAAGCAAATGAAAGAACCTGTCTATTCCGTCCCCATACCCCAACCTGAAACTATCAGCTATTTTTCGCGAAGACCAGGAACATAGCCGAGAAGGTTTTTCAAAGATTATCTCAACGGAAATAATCCTCGAAGAACGTCGAACGGCCCGCGTCGTGGGCTGCTTGACGTTCGATCTCTTCGTTCGTGTTCTGCGGAGGCCAAGCAGGCTACGAGCCCTGAAAATTCCCTGGTTCTCACAGTGGAAGATAACGCAAAAACGATAAGCACCCTGAACAGGCAACTAAAGTAAAAACTTTCAACAAAAACCGGCAAGCTCCCAATACACGACGCACGTTGACCGGGTTTCCACAGCTCAGGCGGGTGGCAGAAATTTCTGGCTGATAGAGTTCGCTCAAGTCGCAAAAGGGTGGCAGTCAGAGAGCTCTTTTTGCAAAGGTCTATTTTAGGCTTCTTACACCTGACGTCACTTCCGGTTAGCCTCGAAATTGAAAACAACATTGTCGTACGCGCCATGTTAAAGGCATTACTACTGCAGAATTAGTTTCTTAGAGCCATGGCCGGTTTTGGCTGTTTCTAGCTGTGCTGCTTTTGTAGCGGCTGTCACCGCCGCTGGAAAACACTAGATAAAAACTCAAATTTACTTTACATCTCGCATTCGTAAGTGCAAAAGATGCTGCGTCGGTAAACGTGAAGAGACCGCGTGCCTGGATGGCGCAGGCGCATAGTTAAGAAAAGATACCGCGCTCGCCCCGTCTGCTAAAGCGTCGCCTTTCCCTGGTTCCTAATAATTGCCCCAATTTAAAAAAGTATATATATATATATATATATATATATATATATATATATATCGGAAGTGTTTTTTTTTTATTCTTACACATTTGTTTAAAAAAAACGTGAAAGCTACACTAATGCGTCATTCTGCAGGTGGGTATTACGGCCAGGCGGACATTATGTGAGTGGCTATTTTTTGCGAACAGTCGGCTAATTAATTAAAATTTATTTTTTTATTCGGGAAAATAGACATATAGTTCTAATTAGAAACTTGCTGAGCATCATCGAAAACCACTAAATCAACTATTTTTATAAGGATATAACGCCGGGGCAGCATTTTACGGCGTTCTGTAAAAACGCTCCATCTGGACGCGTTCTAGATTTCGGTTTCTTATCGGAGCGCATCTTTGCGCCCGCGGTCCTGCTCCCCAGTGGTCGTGGCGCGAAGCCACCCCCTCGCCTCCCTTGTAAAATGGAGGGAAGTAGGGTGCACGTGTGTTGCGGCGTCCTTGTGGCCAGTAGCGATAGCTTGCGGTGCGACGCGCGCGTTCTCGCAACGCTTCGTAGCACGACGCAAGCGAGTAGAGACTCTCTCAACTTTCCGAAGCGTTGCGGTGCGTTCGACCAATCAAAAGCCGAAAGAGGAAAGGCGGGTGACGTGTTCGCTCGCCCCACTCGGCCATCTCGGCGAGACGTATCCGGTTCTCCGCTCGCAGAACTTGCTGTTTCGTTTTGGGGAGCGGTGGGGAGTGCATTTTCTAAGGCTGCGATGGTTCAAGCTTGACAAAACATCGGGGAAGCCAGCGGGATTGTCCCAAGATCGAACACTTCCACGCTGTCGCTGTGCGCCGCCATGTTGCCTTGGATTTCGCTTGCTATTGGTGAACCGCTAGCGACGATAGCACGTTCTTATTGGCTCTTGACTGCGGTTGACTGCGTGTCAACACAACTGTGCGTTCAAGTTTGGCGCAAGCGCTCTTCGCAGCGTTTGCCGCTACGGAACTCACCACGCTCGAACGCAAATGTGCGTATGGGCCTTTAGCCACTGAGGAGCAGGACCGCGGGCGCGGTGATGCGCTCCGATAAGAAACCGAAATCTAGAAACGCGTCCAAATGGAGCGTTTTTACAGAACGCCGTAAAATGCTGCCCCGGGGTTATATCCTTCCAAAAATAGTTGATTTAGTGCAGGCACGTAGCCAGGGGGGGACGGGGGGCATGGGACCTGGGACACCCCCCCCCCCCCCCCCCGAAATCTTCCATCTTGTTGGGGCCTCCTCTACCCCTCCCCTTCATACAGATTTTGTCATGGGCGCCCCCCCCCCCCCCCCCCCGAAACAAAATCCTGGCTACGTGCCTGATTTAGTGGTTTTCGACGATGCTCTACAAGTTTCTAATTGAAACCATATGTCTATTTTCAGTAATTAAAAAGTTATCGAATGAATTTTAATAATTAGCCCACTTATCGCAAAGATTAGCCACCCACATAATGTCTGCCTGGCCGTATAACCCACCTGCACAAACCGCATTAGTGTAGCTTTCACGGTGTTTTAAACAAATGTTTACGAATAAAAAAAAAACACCCTGTATAGGTAACTTCTACGGTTGGAAAAATTAATCGCGGCACAACTGACCAATTTACGCTTCAAGAGATCGAACGAACCACAGCGCGAACACGGACCCAAAGCACACGAAACATATCATAACAGCGACGAATGCCTCGAACATGGATTCCGGTAGACTCCGGCGAGATTTCCGAACCGGAAGAAGCGTCGCGTTATGGTCTCGTGCAAGGGTTTAAATTTGAAAATTTAATTGCAATGTAATGCAATATTCAAAAAGTTACCGTTTCTTTTCAAATATACCAGGTGCGCGCGCGCCACATCCCGCTTTAAACGTGTTTTTTTTCCTCTTAAGAACGCGACTGCGATATTCGTAGATTAATAAGTGTTAACCGCGGCAAGTTAGCCCCGTTGAGCACGCTTCTTTTAACAACACCGGTACACTGCGGAGACACATCAAGGGCAGAGCTCAATTCCGTGTGTGTTGCTTCTCCGTAGTGCAGCGGTGCTCAGTAAGAAACGCGCTCAACCTGCCGCCATCAGCACTTAGAAAGAAAAAACAAATAATTATTTTATTGAAGCGGATGGGTTATCAAATAGCGTTTCATTCGAAAATACTAGAACATAATTTTAAAAAATTTAATATAGAAACAGTTGCGCAACCTGCCATCGATGCTTCGAACAGACTTGTCACTTGCATTGTAGAATATGCAGAAGCAATCTCCGCCGATTCCCGAGGCGTAAGGCTGCAGAACCTGAAGCACAGCCGCTGCAGCCACTGCAGCGTCGGCAGCGTTGCCACCTTTTTGCAGCACTTCTGCAAAAACAAAAAAAGAAAGAATAAGAACGACAGAAGTTAACCTGCATCCCCGGAAATGTGTGCCATTGTATGCTTGCGCCCTCTCTTATCCGCGGGTTACGGCAGCGCTCCCATAGAAGCCTATGTATTTAATGTGCAAATATGGCCATAACTTCGAAACGTTATGTTTTGAACAATTTACCATGCCACTACTCCATTTTCTCATATACCGTTATTCTTGTGTCAAAATTTCAAGATGATAAGGCGTAAGCTGCAGGTTCCTCAGTCGAATAAACTTTTTTATGTATTGCCCCTACAGATAGTATCCATGTTAATCAATGTCTGCAGTTTTTTTTTGTATAAACAACTGGTTATGATTGAATAAATTAAATAGAATCCCTCCCCAATATTTCGGCAAATTCTGCAGTGTCTGAGATGTGTATTGCATCCAGTATTGTGCGCCTACTAAAAAAAGTAACCGATTACAATTACAATTACGTTATTAAAAATGTAACCAATTACAGTAATCAACTACTGCATCGCAAAAGTAATTGAAAAATTACCAGAAAATAATTCATTACATCTCACGTTACTTTAACGTTATAAATCAAACTATACCGACTTCACATAACCCTAATGGCACTTTCAGGTGGCAGAAAATTAGGCACTCTCGACAGCTCGACAGTCAAAACGTCGCTGAACGCATCGACATTATAATCCTTAAGGTATACTTGTACCTTTTTTTTAGTTCTTTATTGGCCAAAACAAAATGGCCAACGTTGGTGCAACATAGACGAGCGACGGACGGGCAGAGAGAGCGATTTTTTAAGTAAAAACCCCAACTCAATAATTCTTTCGGAAACATAATTGATTGCTTGTATACAGAAAAATAGTAATTCAATTACAGCGAACGTTACCGCAGGAAAAATAATTGAAGTGTTAAAAAGTTACAATAAAATGTAACTGGTTACAAGTAATCAGTTACAATTGTAACTCGTTTCGTAAAAGTCTGATTACATCTGTAGAAAAATATATTTGAGGGCACCATCACACACATTTTTGAGAAACGGATATGTTCAAACGAGCACAATTTAAAAAAATACAGCACAATACTCGATTTGCCATTCGACCGCAGCAATCCAGAAGAATCGTCTATGTGCTGGGTACAGTTTGTTTTTTCTCAAAATTATTTTCTTCGATTCCTGAAACCCATTTGCCGAAAAAGGGGGATTCGTTTTTTTTAGACGTTTAAAATCATTTATATTATTATACTACTGACATCAATAAATTAGCAAACAAAAACAACGGTTTGTATTACGACAATATAACATTAGTAAAAAACGATTTCAAAATATTCTCGCCAATTATTAATGCTACGTGATTATAACCGTGAGTTTTATCGCAAGAAATGGGAGCACTGCGGTCAATCAACGATTAATGAAATAAGGATTGTTCCTGCGAACTTAAAGGGGTAGGGAAAAGAAATTCCAGCGCTCATTTTCTAGCTTAAATGTGTGGCATGTACCAGCATAACCTCAAAAACACCAGTCTTTCGTCGAAAGGCACAAGAAAACCAACTTGTAAGTATATAATTTAACGATGTAACAATGTGCACCTGGTGGATGCCTGCAAAGCTTAGTTGGGAGGTAATCTAGCAACGTTGGCAATCTTGCTACGTAGGTCATGACGTAGCAATAACCGTTACGTAGCCGCGCTAATCATCGGAGCAGCGCCGCTCTTTGGGGGTACGCTCAGCTGTTTAAAGCGGTCGTGTTAAAGGTATTGACCGGTCTAAACCGGAAGTACTCAAGTTTTTCCGCTCGTTAGGTCTAGGAAGCCTTCATATAGATAAACGTCATTTTTATTTTGATATATAATGTCCGGATATTAATTAAACTTGCCATGAGCGTGTGTACGAAACTGCACCTCGAATTTCGCCAGTGCAAATGGCTGACATACTGCCGCTACGCGTGACGTAACATCAGGCATGGGATCGTCGGCTATGCAGGCACTTCGTATACGCGGGTGCTGGAATATGTTCGTCGATTAGTGTTTCGTATTTTGTTTTTTCTTATGCTCTATTTTAGGTTGTACTCAGTTCAATTGCGTTTTTTTGTCAAAGCTACAACAACAAAAAGAAACACTTTTATTAAGATATTATTTAAAGACGGCCGTCAGCTTGGAGCAACTATCCGTGCGTTCCTCGGATTGACATATCATTCTTTGCAAAGAGCTACCACAGCTTTGCGAAGAGGATTGCCGAAGCTGTCTATGTTTCTGACGGTATCTGTAACCGAGCATTGCCATGAATATCACTCTCAGAAAAAAAGGTGTACTATTACACCCCTTGTCCCATATAGTACACCCCAAAACTTCAATTCGACGTACAGCGCCCCATAATCGAACAGGCGGCCCCAAAGTTTACGAGGAGCTTGATAGCCGTGTGGTACAACTTATTAAGATAGCTGATGTACGTATTATTGACTACAAAAAAGATTATCTGAGTTTTCTTCGCCGTACTGCAAAAGCTCCGTGTTTTCTTTCTTTGGTCTTTGATACGTACTTTAACAATTTAATAAGTTATATCGCACCGTTATCAAGCCTCTGGTAAAATTTGGTGCCGTCTGTTCGACTATAGGGCGCTGTACGTCGAAATGAAGTTTTGGGGTGTATTATATGGGACAAAAGGGTGTAAGGTTATACCCTTTTTTTTTAGAGGTAAAGATAATCCGTAATTTCAAGCCATCATATGTCTGGCAGCCTCAACGCTGCGGCAAGTGTTCAAGGAAAATTCTGTGACTATGCCGTGGGATATGTGGTCTCCAAACGTGCGCGTACAAACCTTTTATTATTCTTTGTTTCTAAAACAAAGCTTCGGGACAGGTAAACCTCCAGGGGAACCTCATTTCTGCAAAGTACACGTTATTCACGCGGCACTTGTGTGATGTCCACCGTCGCACCAGTCCACTGCACCGTTTACACGGTGATGTCGCTGATCGACTCTGGATTGAGGAGGGTGAGTTCTTGGCTGGTAGGTTTTGGGAAATGTTTACCAATAAACACTTTTACTTTTCTTAAGAACTGAAACCTTCAAAGCGTTAGAATGTGAAGTGCTCTCCAAGCCTACGGAGAGCACTTCCCTTACTGTCCTTTGGAACATGAAAAATAGTGTTCTTTGAAACTTGTTGGTTGCTTAATCGTTCCACGAGCCAGTTCTGAAATAAACTTTGTCTGTACATATTTATGTGGTTGGAGGACTTCAATTTTTAGCCATGAAGTTAGGCAGGATGGTGATCATAAAATATTCTACCTCAAATGTGCAACGTTCCGACCCTGATGAGTTGTACCAAAACAAAAAGTGTTGAAACTTGACAAATATGGGGCTCCCTGCTGGATGGTTCGCAAGACGTTTGAAACATGGGATAACTTAAACACCTGGTTGATATAGGAACATCAGCACGCTTTCAATGGACAATATAAATTGCAGAAAACTGTCAGCCAGGCAGGGGCCATGATCCTTCGAGCGCATTGGTGGTTAAATCAACGCACGAGATGCGCGAAAAATAATTCCCTCGCCGCTTACTTACTAGCAGGCGTACTTGCACGCTATATAACTTAGTGTTGAGGACAAAGCTGGGAGCCCACGAGATCAATCACATCGATTAGAGTCATTGCTGTGGGAGACAGGGGGTTAAAAAAGGTGCTCTGCCGTCGAAACAGACATTTGAAGGAAATGTCTTGCGAGATCATGAGGAATTGAGAGCAGAACAGCAGTTACACACTCAAAAAAATGTCTATGCGGCCCACCAGAAACCATTTTGCAAACGAATAGCATTAAAGGCGAGCTCTATCGTGAATTTAGACATTTAGACTATTTAAATGTCTTGCAAGGTCATGAAGAACTGATGCTAGAGGAGCAGTCGTATTTCCAAAAGATATTTATGCGGCGAAACCGAAACCAATCTGAAACCTCACAGGTCGCGGCCTCATTCGCACGCGGACAGCTCGATTCTATTTCACACGGCGACAGGACATCGTTTGTCTGCAGTCCGAGGGTTGTTTCAACCAACCGCACAACAAAAGTCCCCTTAAATCCGCGAAGATCTAGTCTGACAGAGCAACAAGGTTAAAAGAATAAAAAACGAGAAGTTACGGTAGAACAGTCCGGGGGGGGGGCATTTCAACGCGGCTCTTTACCTGATGTTACGTCAGAGATTCCGCAGTTTTCAATGTTGCCAACAAAAATGCCGTTTTCTGAGGACACGTCTTGAGAAGAGTTTAAAATCCAATTTCTCGCCTGGAGGAGGAGGAAAAATACGGATATCGCTTCGAGGGTGTTCATAAACACAGTTAAAACAATATTTAATTGTTTTCTTGAAGACAAAAGTTTATCGGACAATCCCTCTAAACGATTTTTCAATTTTTTCATCTCAGCTTTCCTTCTCAACTCACAAATCACGCATTGAACCAAACAGTTCAAGACAGAAAGGAGGGACAACCCTCTTGCTCGGACCAAATACTTTACTACTAAAGTATTTTCTCGGACCCTCGTTGGTGTACCCGGACGCAGCCATTCTCCCCTAGATTAGCCCCACCCTCAAATCTCGGGCAAAAGTTGCTTTCCCCACGCCGTTCACCCCTAAGCTGACAGCGCTGTGGAAGCTACGTGCTCCTTGGGCCAGCCACACGCTCGTCACCCCACGGGTACTTCGAACGACTTGGTTGTAACGCGTTCACGCTATTAGAGAGTTTTAGTAGATTAGGGAGTTTTCGTAGATGGTTTTCGCCGTTTCGCAACGCTCTCCGCAACCCACTACGATACCCGGAGCTATACAGCCGAGGCCATCGATGCGCAGGCGCATTGGCGGCTTCTTCGTTGCGGAGGACTTAGCGGAGGAGAAAACGCGGTCTACGAAAACTCCCTATTAGGGAGTTTTAGAATAAGGTACGCAATTTTAGCGCACGCTAGCGCTAAATTTAGCGCTTGTATTAGGGAGTTTTAGAATAGCGTACGCACTTTTAGCGCACGCTAGCGCTAAATTTAGCGCTAGTATTAGCGCACGCGAAGCGAGAGAGTTTTAGAATAGCGTTTCTCCGTCGCGACGCAAAAGCCCAAGCATCTCGCGCTTGCGACGCCACCAAGATACAGTAAAAAATTTTATTTCACACACGAAATGCTGTAACTTTAGAAAAAAAAAAACTAGTTTTTTTGGTCCAGAGTATTATTTTAGATTTGTTAAAACATGAGAATGCGGTGCGAGCGGTTGACCGGTCGTGTCCGCTTGCGTCGCCTCGGCAAGAGAGGTCTCGTGTACTTACCTTCGCGCATCGTACCTTCACCGAGAAATGTTCGCGCGTCACAAGCATCAAGCTGCCGGTGATCGTTGCCAAACCGAGTACAATGCCGTCCCGTATCGAAAATCGCAGTCGCGAGGATGCCGCCGACGTCGCACCCACGACTCCGCCGAAGTAGCCGCCGACATAATCCTGGAAGCCGCCATTTTTTTCATCTCTGCTCGTCTTGGCTTTAGCCAACTTGTCATCACGAATCCTCCTTGGAGAAGCGCAAAGACTCGTTGCGTATGCACGCTATTTCTGAGAAATAACGCACGCTAAAATTGCGCCCGCAAAGCGCAAAACCTGATTTGCGTTCGGAGCATGCGCAGTGGCGACGACGCTATTCTTTGCGTACGCAAAGCTTTAGCGCGCGCTATTCTAAAACTCCCTATTGTTGTGACTCTCCCGCTACGCTTAGAGCGAAGGTGCTACTGCGCATGCGCGCTGCTAGCGGAAACATTGCGGAGCTGCGGAGGCTAGCGGAGGCGCGCTATCGGACCAAGATAGCGAGGCGCGTAGCGCGGCGTGCTAGCCTGGGTCTCGTGAGGACGAGTCTTGGCGAGATAAGGAAGAGCCACGAGAGACGCAATTCAAGATGGCCCCCACGCCGCGCCTGTCGATTCGCAATATAATGTCATTAGAAAAAACGTGACTGAGAAGTCTTAAGTTTTACATACCGATTGCAGCCGCAGAGGCCAAGGGTTGATCAGTGCTCGCTCCGGCTTTCGAACCAAGCACTGGTGATCTCCGGGAGTTGAATTCTATTGGCGACGTGCGGGACCGAAAGCGTCGCTGTGGTCGGCCTCCCACGATTGGCCAAATGCTGACTAGGACGTCAGCAAAGGATCTCCCGTAGACGAAAATAAGTGGTATGTAAGAGCTTCAATTTTCACGGTGTTGGCAGTGTTGGCTTTAGAGCGCAATGATTTCAAGCCTCCACCATGCTCATTACGAACACCATCGAACTTGTTGTTCGCAAGGTAATGACGTAACGAAAGGAAGCCATACGAGGGCGCCACCAAAACATCTCGCCGCTAATAGAGTCGCCCATTGGACGCGCTTTTCCCAGCCCTTGTGGTTGTCGTGCAAAGCAAAGCGAGCTCCGTTAAGCAGACCGCTCCTCTGTATGAATACCACGAAGTCACGCGCTCACCGAGCAGAGTTAGCAAGCTACAGCAGTAGATATCAGACATACTGGCAGCACGATAACGGGATAACAAGTGGAATAGTGTCACTATACTTCGTTTCACCTTATCTGCGAGCGAAGCCAAAGCTAAAAGCGCGAGACCAGCGCTTTTTGCGTTTCTCCCCAGCTCGCGCGCTCGAGCAAAGCCTGAACGCACGGAGCTTTCGTGCTCGCGCTTCCAGCTTTGCCTTCGCTCGCACATAAGGTGAAACGAAGTATAGTAGCTATACAGTGGCTGGTGGCATCGATCTACAGTGTCGATGTAAAATGCAGGGACGGCACCAGGCTTTTCATAGTGAGGGGGCAGTGGGGAGGCGCACGGCATTTTTAGGGAGGCATGGGCTATCGATCCGACTAAAAGAACAAGTGTTTAGGGACGATGACTTGGCGCTTCAGGAGTTTTTACTAGAAATCAGCTCAGGTTATTTCATTATCTTACAACCTACCTACAACTCTGGTTAATGTAGCATTTCACGTGCAAAATATTCAGGCATGTTTACATGCCGCAATACTAAATAGGCACGCTCACGCTTGTCGTGACTCATCATCTGCTCTTTAGACAGTCCCTTGAAGAAAGCCGATGATGTTTGGGACATCTTGCATGCCGCACTGTTGGAGTGGCGTCGTAGTCCGCCCTTCCTTTTGAAGAGCTTTCTTCCAGTTTTGATAGCCCTCTGTCAAAATACAGCACTTCCACTGTTTTACTCCCCCCCCCCCCTCCCCCTTCCCCCCCCCCCCCCCCCCAAATACACAAACACTTTCAGCTTTCCTCCAACCTCCTGGGATAGTCCCTCGAAGGGACTCTGTGCCCCAAGGTCACTAATGATGGGATCATGGCAGTTCTCGAACCGTCAGGCTCACAATCACCGTCATCAAAGTTCCTTCAAGGACCCCATAGAGACTTGAAATAAGCCGGATGACCTAGACACATCAAAGCCGCTCCTTCAAAACTCGTCAGCCGGCCCGAGCGTCTCAGGTCTTTGGGAGATTTCCTCGGTCAGAACATGAACAGCGCCCTTGCGTTCCTTTGTCTGGCAGGTACGAAGCGAAGGCGCAGTGCAGATGGGATTCCAAGTCTCTGCGAGTAATCACTTGGGTGAAGGTACTTTCAGGAAGTATTTTTTGGTTGGCGGCAGAGGAATTAAGTGGTATACGACGCTCCTTAGCTTCGGCAAGCCATACCGATATTCATGCATCGCTCTTCACGGAGTACGTAGAGAAAATAAAGTGGACGGCACAAAAAGGTTGAAAACGTCCGGTATGAGGCCTCTTTAGGCTGGCTATCCTTCAAGCCAATGCTTTTTCTATGGGACGAGGAAATTGGGAAAATGACGAGCCAATTAGCTTGTGCGGGTCTGCGCGTGAAAATTAGGGTGGGGGGGGGGGGGGGGGGGGGGGGGGCTGTAAAGGCTAGCATATTTTTTGGGGTGGCAGGACAAATTTTAGGGGAGGCGCCCGCCACCCCTCGCCTCCCTTTGGCGCCGTCCCTGGTAAAATGCACTGGAAAATCGGCCGCCGGTGCGTAGAAAGCTCGCATTTTCAACGAGGATGCATTTTAACCGTGGACGCGATCCTGTGAAGTTTCTTGTCGCAGCTCCGTTCCTGTGAGAAGTTATAAGAAAGCATTCTTAAAAACTAAAAACGGCTCTAGGGGAAATTGGAGGGGAGAAAGAGTCGTACCTTTGGGTTTTATCCTAGATGGCGCAAGCTACCGCCTGTTAGAAAGGGTACGTCCGTTAACATTAATCCATGGATGGCGGTTTCCCAAGCTTCCTCGCTTCCTCAAGTCTCACGCATCTCACGTCGTCTCACGTCGCACTATCACTATGGTTTCGCGTCGCGCACGTCGGCTTCGTAGAAAACAGCATTGGTATGCGACACCCGTTCAAATACGAGGAAATGCATTCTAGAAATTCGCCCCTTGGGCGAAGAAACAAACTGCTCTTTTCACTAGGATTCGTGTGGTGCTACTAGTAGCTCTCAAACGATATGCCGAACTCAGCGTCTCCGATGTCTTTCACGACGCTTTTGCCTGACAGTTTTACGGTGTTCGGGCGCAAAGGTTGCTGAGTGCTTATAATTTCGACATGAACGATCTCAAGGGAAACTTGCTCACTCTGCGAGAATGGCAGGGGTCGCTGAAGGAAGTGGTACAGAATTTGGACTACCTGGAAAAGCAGGTAAGTGCCCTGGCCTCTGATGTTGCCTTCTAATTCTTCGAGCATACCCAAAGAAGAGAGATTTCCTGGACCCGCCCCCACCCACCAAGGCATTTATTTCATTTTCCCTCAACATGTTCGGTGGACGGAAGCTGAGCATGCATCGGATTTCTAAAACGTTGCGTTGTAAAAAAACAAATTTAAAACCATCTTTTTTTTTAAGCGATTTTGTGTGCTTGGGGAACATAAGGATCTCTCTCGAATGACAGATACTGTTGGTTTCCTTTTAGGGTACGGTTAAAGAGCGCGTTTTGTTTTATTAACATTTGAGAGAGAGAGATGTGTTGAAAAGAAAGGAAGCCTGGAACTTAACATTTGACTGTCCTTTTCTCTTGCCTCACAACATATTTGTCCATTTGGCCAGGCATGTGGAGAACTGACCTCAGAGAATGAGATTGTGTTTTAAAGCGCCTAGAAGCCCTAAGGCTGGGGGGGAGTTTGATGGCAGAATTATATTTACTGAAGGTAAATGGTATCTAAAGTAATACAGAAAAACACATTGTATTAAGCAGACAAGTGTTGACTGCTAATCTTTGTCATACGCTGTCTCGAGCAGTCTTTAACTAACACAGTGCTCACTTGTGTTTTCTAAAGCACTCCAAAAGTTTGACCTACCGTTCTTTGATGAAGTGGTGACTGTGTGTGACTACCAGCGTGCGAAAGAGCATTGGTGATGTGAACGATAGCTTCCTAGTGTTCGCCCTTTCTGTCTCCACCTGGCATTGCCTTTGCCTGCACTGCACACAACTAGTGACACAGAGTATAGACTTGCCGGTAGTGCCACCGACAGGCTCCCAATCTGCGATCTGGCCAAATACAATAGGGATCGGTGGTTGAATCGGATGAAAATTAAACAAAATGATTGTGCAATCTTGTTGGGGCAACAATCAGTCCAATGTTCTAGGTTTCATAGGGGCATTCATATTTTGCATTTTTAGTAATATATTGTGCAGAATAGGTAATTGTTTTCTGAACATTAAAACATAATATTGTGTGCTTTTCAACCTTGAACAGTATCTTGGCAAGTGTGTCTGCCTAGATGCATGTTTGATCTCCTTGGCCATGGTCATTGGCAAACAGAATGGTATGTTATTTGTTAGGCGGCAAAGGCTTGTACGATCGTTTAACTGCATCTTATCAGGTTGAGGGGAAGTTGATTGATATTACGTGTTTAGTGTGTTAGTGTGTGGGTTTTCCACTCGCCGCTATGTCTTCCTGGAGCAGGTTGAGCTAAGGGAATACAATTGTCCATACTCTCCTTTCGTGAAAGCCCCACTTTGTGGCTCTCTCAATAAACCTGCAACTTTTCTTTTTTGCATGACACATCTGTGATCCACTTTAATTTATGATAATTGCATTTAAAGTATGGTACCACTTTTTTAAATGTGATGCCAGCCCGTTATATCGACCAACATCTGCTCGTGATGTTGTATGTTGTGAAATGTAGAGGTCACGTCGCAACAACAGCAACACGAGCCGTCCGCGTTCATAGGCAGCAACCAGTTGCTGCAATTTGCCATTATCATCATTAAACTTTTTTTTTCTTGCACTATTTAGACTTTATACCTTTAAGCGGCGTTTAGAATACTAACTCATCTTCTAAACTGGTTTATTCCCAGAAACGATCAATCTCAAACCAGAACCAAGTCTTTAGTTGTCATCATCACAGGCACGGGGTGTCACTGGAAAATATTGCGTCCCTGCAATATTTTCTAACGTTGATGCCCGGTGTGGCAACAAAGGGAAAGCATGGAGGTGCTTGTGGGGGATTTTTTTATGTCCATTACCGTCCAGCCCTGCGCCGAAGCAGGCACGTCATCTTCACTAGGACCCGAATCGCTTGAGCTTTCATACTATTCCGTGGAGTTGTCGCTTCCGTCGCTATCGTCTAGCACAAAATCATCGTCATTGGAACTCGAAAAATTGTCAACTAAAGAAACCCACTTCCGAGGCGAGCGACGCAAATCGCCACCCAAGAAGGACGCCATTTTTAAAACCTGTGTTGCCGGACGAGCATAAACTATTTGCCAATCAATGTCAAAAGTAGCGAAATTTTAGTTCACTTTTGCCCCTGTTAGCTAGCAAGATAACTGTTCCCAACGCAAAAATAGAGTGGACGGGCGTGCCTCATCGATGGCATTCCAGACACGGGTAGAAAGGAGCAGACGAGCGACGCTCGTCCTCGGAATTTGCAGGATGAATGCCATGGACGAGTCAGACTCGTCCTCGGCGGTTAAAGGGTTAAGGCATCCAGAATGGAGTGTTTTAGTGTCCAGACTTGGCGCTTCCTCTTGCGTCGCTGCATTTGTTTATGTAGGAAACATTTCCACCTCCTGCACATTTTTTCGCAGCTACTGCACAGCGCCCACGTTGCGGAGGAAGAGGTGAAGTGTCACTTTTCCCAACTGGAGCAAGACTTCATAGCTGCCGTGAGGCAGCGCAAGAACGCGCTGCTCTCGGAAGTGGCCGTAGCTAGGACCAAGGCGCTCAAGCCAGTAGCCGACTGCCGGCGACAGATCGAAGCCGAGATCACGGCTGCGGATTCGGCTCAGGCCGAGGGAAGCCAGCTCTTGCAGCGGAGCAGGGACAAGGGGCAGCCCAACGCAGAGCAGACAAGGCTCTTCTGCCGCAGGATCTCGGACTTCGAGAGGTAGAGTCCAATACAACGCGGTATTTATTTTGTTCCGGAAATATGTCACAATTAAAGCCTGCACGAGCCAATAAGGCTTGTATGTAGGAAGCAACAGTTGTTGCAAAATTGTTTCGTTTTGCATGAGGAAATGATGCAAAAGCGACACCAGACATACTTCTGTTTAATGCAGCTTCCACACTGGTTGTGCGCATTAAAAAATACCTACAAAACCATTAAACAATTTACACTCAATTTTTACAAACTTGCGAAAAGCGTACAAAAGAACAACCAAGCCAGAACAATTCGAGAAATATTGGTGTAGCTTTCAGATGTTCGCAAGGGATGTCCCTTGTGAACATCTGAATCGGTAAAACTTCATGGTGGTACTGATTTTGATTACATAATAAAAAATTATGCAACTGATACACATAAGAAATTTGATCTGATAGAGTAGTTGTTCATTCCGGGCGTTTCAGCAAAGCCTGGAATTTCTTAAAAATACCCTACTTTACAAAATTTTAAGTTTTCGCTGAAACACTTGGCATAAACTACTCTACCAGAGTGTATTTCTTGTATGTATCAGTTGCATAATTTTGTTAATGTAATCAAGATCAGTACCACTACAATTTGGCTGAGAAAAAAAGAAACTCTTTCCAGAAGCCATCTGCCAGCCACGGCAGACGTCCAGTGTTGCCAAAAAACATACCAGTTGGCTAAATAATGGACTAAAATTTACTGACCTACCTTTTAATTAGTGAAGATAAACCTTCTGAGCATAATTGAAAATCGACTAAATCAACTCATTTTAGAAAGACATAAGGCAGGTGCAGCATCTTACGGCGTTCTAAAAAAACGCTCAAGAAACCGAAACCTAGTAATGCGTTTACTAGGTTTCGGTTTCTTATCGGAGCGCATCTTTGCGCCGGCGGTCCTGCCCCATGGTCACCGAGGCATGTGAAGCTTGTGCGTCATGCGTCCTTTCATCCTACAAAGGAGGCAAAGAGGTAGCTTCACGTTTCGGCTCCATGGGGGCGGGGCCACTGGCGCAAAGGTACACTCTGATGGGAAACCGAAACCTAAAAACACAACCAAATTTAGCTTCTTTTTTTTTTTTTTTTACGCCGTAAACTTTTGTATTTGTCTTGTATATTTGTAAAATTAGTTGATTTGTTGCTTTTTGTGATGCTGAGAAAGTTTCTAAGTTGATTCATATGTTTATTTTCACTAATAAAAAGGTTAATTAGTAAACTTATTTCATTATTTATATAATGTTTTTTTGCAATCCCTGATGTCTTCCATGGCTGGCAGATTGCACCCGGTAAGACTTTATTTTTTCTCAACTACTACCTTATTTTTAGGAATTTTTTAGATGTTTTTAGGATGTCGGCTTGTATTCACAAGTTTTCTGCTTTGTTAATTATATGTTTATAGCTTTTTATTGTCTCGGGCAGCATTTCACCTGGGGTGAAATGCTCAGGCCACTCGGTAAACTTTTTACTACGTAACATCTTCTGGCCTCTCCTTGGTTTGCATTCATTAGTGGTAAAAAATGTCCAGTCTATAGACTAAAGTCACTTGCTGACGCTCTTCTTCTAAGATGTTACCATGGCTCTCATCGAAATTTTCGCCTCACATGACATCTGTTCACATCTTGTGGCTTCTGGATGCCGTCATTCCATGGTCTAGGGCAGTGGTCTCAAACTCATTCGAGCCTGGGGGCCAGATATGCCACACCGGAAAGGTCGAGGGCCAGGGGGAGAGGGGGAGGAAGGGAGGGGTGGGGCGGGGCGGGGAACCCGTGAGCCTGCCAGTGACATCTTTAGATTTGATTTGTTTATATGACTACTTTGGGCCCTGACCTGATGTGATAAAAAGAATTTAAATGACACCGCCTCGACATCGTGCTGGCATTTTTAATAGGACAAACAAGAGAGCAAGTACACGGTCGTTCCTGTTGCTCAATTCACTCATAAATTGACCAAGCTACACATGTCCCTAAAAAAAAAAGCAATCACTTACTTTGACAGTTTTCGCTTTCCTAATGGTTTTTATTACAACGCTCGAACAAATATTTGTCTTTTAAAGTGATCCTGAACCAAACATTGTAGCGTCCATAATATGTGGCGCACGATCCTTCCACGAGCCAGCAGCCGGCGGTGTGTGCCAGCACAGGCAACAAACTTGACGTCATGGTCCTCCTTCTAGCCTTTATTCTCCTTTAACCCAGAGCCCATACATTTCACTCTCATCTTAGGTGTGAATGGGGGACTATGACTTCAATTGCGTTGCATGGTCTCGTGCACACCGGCGGCTGCTGGCTCATGGAAAAGTCTTGCGCAGCATACTATAGTCACTAAAATGTTTGGTTCAGGATCTCTTTAATGGTAAAATATTTTTGAAGGCGAGAATCCCGAGCTCTTAGCTTTCTTTTTTGACAGTTGCTCCTGCTGATCGACAGATCGCGCAACTGAGATGCAACCTTCAACGAATAGCTCGCACCAGCAGCCTAGTAGCAGAATTGTTGTACATTACAAAAAGCTGGGAAGCAGAACATCAAGCAAAACAAAGGGCAGAGGAACACATAAGTATAAATTATGAATACGTTAAGAGAGCAGAGCTACTTTTCGAGCAAAAATGAATCGACGACACAAGATCACTATGGGGCATTCTATTCCTAGCATTCGAGACATGTGAACAGGGACTTGCAGACGGTTGCCTGCGGGCTGCATACCAGCGAGTTGTGGGCCGCGTGTTTGAGACCCCTGGTCTAGGACATCGGGTGGCAAACTGTGTCCTTAAATGGGACGTGTTTCGCTTTGAGATGCAGTGTTGGGGGATTCTTGTAATGGCATTCGGCTCTGTCGCAGTCGGTGTTGCCAAGCAGGCATACAAAAAGCACCCGGGGTCCTATTTCGGTCACCGTGACTGCGAGATCCAATCTTCCTCTTGAGGAGCGAGCTAAGGTAGTGTTCATAGGCAGTTCATCTGCTAACGTGAGGAAAGGACATGGCTTGGTCTGCTACGAAGCGTCATTTGCAGACGAAAATTAAACAAGAAAACGCAATTTGTCGTCTGCCAACAGAACCGAAAAAAAGTGGATCGTTTGGTACAAACGGAGTGCTACGGCGAAATGAGCTTGAGCGCAGGCAGAAATTGTGATTGTCTGCTATTTCACGTCGGAAGCCATTGACAGCCCGTGATTCATTTGCAAATCTCAAGTTGTTCTGCTGCCATACACAAACCGACATAGACCGATGACGGAAGAATGCGAAGGATAGGCAGATCAAAGGCCGCAAGACCTTTCTCAGTGTTTGGGCGTTGGCGAGGCGTTTTCACCAAAATATCGCTAGAATCTGGAACTCGCAAACAGGTCAATTTCTCATTGTTTGATTATGTGCGCCCAGCAGGGAGTTGCGATGCCATGTCCAATCAGCGGCCAAGAATGTCCTTGGACTCACCTTTACCAAAATCAAACCGTGATGTACTCTTTGTTAGAGATGCCAACGAAAGTCGGCGTCAACTGGCAGGAATCCTGCTATCTCATGTCACAGTGTAGCATTGGTGGTGCACAGCTTACTTATGATAGCTTACATAGTAGTCCTCGTAAAGCCTGTAGTATCACAAAGGGCGACCGTATCCTTTTTCAGCATCGCATACCTGTGCGGAGAGCAAGTGGTCTGCTTTTTGTGCAGGAGTTGAGTTGACGTCAGAACGATGCTGAGCTCAGGTTGGCTTTGATTGAAAGGATAGTGGATAAACCTCAATGTTAGATGCCTTAAGGTCTACCATTATTTTTTTCAATCAGCCAATCAGAGCTCAGCATTCTGACATCATCGCAAACCCTGTGCAAAAAGCAGATAACTTGTGCTCCCCATAGCTTTCTGGTATGCCGAAACTCGACATTGGTTAATAGCTCATTTGTATTTTGCTGCTGATGAAATAGTATTAACATCTGGCACTTGGACTTGCTCCAGCATTGTCACTGTGACTAAAGCTAGGACGCAGGTGAGCTACTGTTTAGCACTGACTTCTTAGGCTACAAAGTGTGAGGAGAGAATCTATAATGAGGTAAATTTTGGAACACAGCTGGATTTTGAAAGTATGTGTTGCGTTGTCCCTTCTTCTGTCACGAGTCTGCTGCATTATAATTTTCAATATTTGTATGGCCACTTTTATATTTGACGACCAAACGCCGTGAGGCCTTTAGGTTTGACTAGCCCCAATTTTCTGTTAAGCTTTGCGAATGGCCGATTTCAGGCTTAGGTAGGAAAGTGTGTTGAGAGACGTGCATGCAATTCCCTGAGCAACACTAGGAATCCGATGCCCGGTTGCATCAGGCAACATGTTTGGGACATAAGTTCCTTCGACTGGCTTCCATAGCACTCCGGTTTGTGAGCTGAAAAAGCCTACTGTAAAACATTGAGCAAGCGCCACATCGCGGAAGAAACCAACACGTTACTTTTGAAATGTTTGAAAACTAAGCAGAAGACATATCAAGCGCCCAGCCCAGACTTGGGGCCCGCCTAGCTCACCGAGATGCTCGTCGTTATCGGCCACTTTTCCAAGGACCTCGGTGAAAAGCGGTGAAGCCCCTGTTATCACGTGCTTCCTCTACATTGCTGCTCTTCACAAGACCCCATCTCCAGTGTTTCAAAGTTGTCTCCCAATTTCAGGTGGGGTCTTCCTCGGTATTTTGCAGTGTGGACTCCTGCCGTAAACTACAACTATCAACGGGGCCACTCCGTTCATTTTATTCTAACAAGAAACCTGACTCGGGTCTACGAAGATATAGGCAAATGGTGTGTAAGCTTACGGTGGCTGCAATGCATCACCCAACTGATGCGTTTAGCATCCTATTCCACTCAAACGTCGGAAGTGGTCCCTAAGTGCTGTTGGAAGTCGCGATTCTGTCGGAAGAAAGCATGAGAGGATGCTGGTGTCTCAGTCGTCGCGGCATTTTAACTCGTGGCTTCGGAAGCTTCTGTGGATTGTCGGGTCATGACGCTTCTGCGGCAGTGGCGGGCGGAGATTGAGGGAACTCTTTTTCGGACACGGTGAATGTCTGCCACCGACGCAGCTTGCCGGAGATCCCGACTCTGCTGGATGTCGGCACGGTGGCGGCGGCCTTTGACCGTGGAGCTGTGGCGCAGTGGACGTCCGGTGTGCTGCAGTACGGCACGGTCCTGACAGCATGTCCAGTCGTTGTGACGCACGTCGAGCCGAGACCCGGGGCCCTGCGCGTCCACTGGATGGAGGTGAGAGCGACGCCGGGAGAGACCGGTGCACTATCGAGTGCACGACCGATTGAGCGTCTTAAATGCTGGAATGATACTGTTTGTGTTGTACGATATCCTTCCAGCATTTAAGGCAAGACACTGGTTCTAAAATCGACTTTTTTGTTTATTAATGGATTATAATGAAAATCAATGTGTATATGTGTTTTGGCTTCCTCTTTTCAAATATTCAATTAGTTCTGCAATATCTCAATTACTTTTTGAGTTACGAAGAAAATAATGAAGCCTAATTAGGTCATTTCTTACGACTCATTAAGGAACTTTCTAATAGAATTTTTTTTGCATAAGTGATATGGATTTGTAGCTAAGGACCTGTCATGCAAGACAGGTCTTTATATTATTTATATTTTTGCAAAGATAGATCATTGTATAAAACTAGTCTAATTAGGTCAAGTACACTATTTACAAAGCCTAACGAGGTCACATTATCACTAATAATAAAATTTCGGGCCCATACTGTCATACAAAAATAGCATCACCCTGCAGTTCACTTCTTTCTGAATTCAACGGTATAAAGTTTATAGAAATCCTTGAAGAATAATCTCATGAAAACAACCGTAAGGCTAGGCATGTAGACGAAAAATGCGAAGCTGAGAAAATTGCAGTTGAAGTTTTGACACTCATTGCATAAAATTGAGTAAGGGATCCCATGCAATAATGTTCAGCAATAGGAAGCATAGTTCTATCTGAACAAATTGAGATGAAAAATTCTGCAATCCGTTCACAAGAACCTTTAAAAAATAATATAAAACTGAGAAATACTGTCTGCAATGTCAAATAAAGTTATAAAATAATGACTAGACTCTATAAGGGACAACGGGAGGAGGCACCAAGGGTTGCACGTTCCGAAAGCAGATTTTGTTTGGCCCTGAAAAGGGCCTTTGTTCGTGTAGCACTTGAAAGGGGAGCCCCCTCACAGCTGTCCAGGACTGTAGTCCCCAGCTGTTCCAGTTTGGTGTTGCCTGGAGAGGAGAACCTCTGCTTTGCATTGCTGCTGCTCTGGTGGGCAGCGTTGGCCTTACGCAAACGCAGATTGTCTTTCTCCATGCTTTGAGAGCTTTCATGTCCACTACAATGAACTGTGTCCCAGCGTCGCGCGTCTGGCCTCCTGTGGTGACGCCGAGAAGGTCGAATTTGCTCTGGGTCGCCGACTTTTCCGATAGCGCACGCTTGCATTCGTCCGATCGTGCGACTCGTTGCGCCTGCTCGGCTGTGGAGTAGTATGCGGTGTCGACACGAACCGCGCTCGCAAAGCTCGACAAACTGCCGCTGCTACATGGAGTCGCAATGTCTCCGGCTGATGTTTCCGGAAGATCCAAGGCATCCGGCGGTGCCGATCGCGGTGGCGCACTTGCAGCAGACAGCTTCGGCTTCTTGTTCCACGGTCGCTTCCTCTTCCTTCCGAACGCTTGCCGCGTGCTCGATTTCAACCGAGCGTCGTCCGGCATCTCGAGAACTCGAAGCGAAACAAAACAAAACACGCGCGACTTCGTAGGAAAACGAACCAACAATATTCAACGCAAGCGCGCAAACGGGAACTAAACCGTGCGCTCGACCACGGAGGAAACAAAGCAGACAGGCCTAAGGAGACGGGCGGAGACGGGCCCAGGAGCAGACGACGCACCTCTCGCCAGCGCGGGAACGGAAAGGAGGAAAGGAGAAAAAGAGCGGAGAGGCGCGTTTAGGCCAATAGCAGGGGCGCTAGGCGCCGCGCGTGCTCTGACGTACGGGCACCTTGCTAGCCGGCCAATGAGCGATCGCAATTGGGGCCTTCGAAACTCGCGGAATGCGGACGTTCCCCGATGTTGTCGCGATAACGATTGGGATGAGGACATGGGGAAAATAAGCGGCTTTCCAACAAGACCAAGATGGCCGCGATCCGACGAGCGATCGCGAAACGCGCGGGGCGCGAAGTTCCACTTGTTTTCATTGAACTCGCTGTGTTAGGGCTCTGCGGGGACATTGTAAATATCATTTTTTTCATGTTTAGACATCGAATTCGACATTGAAACTTTGCGGGCAGGTACCTTAGACTACAATTAATCCAAATATGTAAATTTTGAAAAACGTGAAATTTCGCGTTTTTTGACTATTTTAAGACCCGCGTCTCCCCTTAAGATGTGCCGTACAATCGGTCGTGTCTTCGATTGTGCACTCATTTAAAATGCCAGCGAAATACAACCACAGAGAATGCGCTGAGTGATGGCGGCTCGTGACTTTCATGGTGGTCGTCATTGTACCCACTACCGCACTACTTGCGTCCAGTGATTTATGGGAAATCGCTTACCTTTTACCCGCAAAGTTCAGAATAGTGGCTGCATGTAACTTGTGAGGCCATGTACTCTATTCATGAAGCGGAAGTAATTGTTGGAGCGAAATTTGTTGGAGTTGTCGTAATAACAGATAAGAAATCAGCTAAAACTTTATTAAGCGGGCAATATTGTAGTAAAAGCATTTGGCTGTACAACAGGTTAGTATTAAAAAAAAAGATGGATGACCAGCGAAGCTGTGTCGCACACGACACAGCCCTGCCCCGAGAAGCCGGAGGAAACTGAACGTGCGTGACTGGACAGCCACCTGGCGGAAAGTAAACACGCGTGACGGGACAGCCACCCGGCGGAAAGTGAACACGCGTGATGGGACAGCCACCCGGCGGAAAGTAAACACGCGTGACGGGACAGCCACCCGGCGGAAAGTAAGCACGCGTGACGGGACAGCCACCCGGCGGAAAGTAAACGCGTGACGGGACAGCCACCCGGCAGAAAGTAAACACGCGTGACGGGAAAGCCACCCGGCGGAAAGTAAACACGCGTGACGGGACAGCCACCCGGTGGAAAGTAAACACGCACGACGGGACAGCCACCCGGCGGTAAGTAAACACGCGCGACTGGACAGCCACCCAGCGGAAAGTAAACACGCGTGACGGGACAGCCACCCGGCGGAAAGTAAACGCGCTTGACGGGACAGCCACTCGGCAGAAAGTAAACACGCGTGACAGGACAGCCACCCGGCGGGAAATAAACATGCGTGACGGGACAGCCACCCGGCGGAAAATAAACATATGTGACGGGACAGCCACCCGGCGGAAAGTAAACACGCGTGACGGGACAGCCACCCTGCGGAAAGTGAACACGCGCGACAGGACACCCACCCGGCGGAAAGTAAACACGCACGACGAGACCGCCACCCCGGGAGAGCGGAAGAAAAGTAAATTAGGCACGCAAGCGCTTGGAACGACGACAAACAGAGGGCGGTGCAATCGTTGACATGGCTGACACTGGTTGCACAGCGGCAAATCTTTGAGAAACCTTTAATATCTACCTGAGAGTGTAATGATCTTGAAAATGGTGCCTATTGATAACTAATCTACTGAATAGACCTATTGCTAATTACCCAAGCATCATGGAGAATGCAGGGAATGTTGTTCCATGCACCGCACGTGTCGACGCCTGCAGCAGAAACTGTTTATAAGCAAAAGCCCGAAACAAATGGCATCTTGCACGCACATTCATCAACGCTTCATTTGGGTTATTTACTTCGAATATTTTATATGGGGAAGGCTTCACGCACACGAAAAATCCACGGAACCCTAGCTATAAAAAGCTTCGCTGTAAAAGGATTTTACTGTGGATAGTTTCTAATGTGTATTAGTTTGCGAGGTTAAAAATATTTCGGCTGCTTCAGAGGCTGTTCTTTATCAGTTGTTCTTGTCCCACTCATTCCTTTTTGCTGCTGTGGTGTCGGATGTCAAGACATGTCTTGGGGTTTCTGGCAGATCCCGGAGTTTGGGAAACACTGACGTAAAGCCTCTGCATTGCTGCTACGGCACAACATTTCCACGGTCTTGTCTGTTCCCAAATGGAATATTTCTCTGAGAATCAAGAAAGGCACATCCGTATCCTAATCAAGTGCCAGCTACAATAACGCATACCAAGCACTTGTTAATCCCCAAAATTAACCTAAAGGATTGGCGCCTAAGCATATCTTGCTGATGTTTCGGCCAAAATTGTGTTTTAGTGTCGGATTTACCCGGCAAAATTTCCATACCCTACCATTTTTCTTTGTGCAGAGTGAAAAGAAACACCCTTTGTGAATAAGTCTGCTTGGATCTAGAGTTGCCAACAGCCTCAAAGCTTTCGTTCGCACGGAGCTAATGGACCAGGGGCGGCCAGGGGTGTAGCCCGAAACAACCCATTCCCGTTTGAACCCGTCCCATGACGACCCATTCCCGAATCGACCTTCCCGTTTGAACCCGTCCCATTACGACCCATTCCCGAATCGACCTTCCCGTTTGAACCCGTCCCGTTTCATCCCATTCCGAAACGCCCTTCTCATTTGAACCCGTCCCGTTCCAACCGATACCCAAAAGACCCTTTGCATTTGAACTCGTCCATTTTTATCCCATTTGTATAAGACCCTGCGCACCACAACCTTTTCGCTAAGAGTCTAATCGTTCTAACCCTAGCCTGCACACCTTTTCTGCTTAAGAATACATGTTCTGAAATATTATTGCATGTCAATGTATTCTAAAAATATGTACCTCTTTGAGACAAGCTTCGAAGTAATATATTAGTCTTACTTCAACCACTTAAAGTGTTTTTGCTTTTTCTTTTTTTTTTACTTCAGGATGATCCCCATAACGTGCGACCATACAACGGTCTATGTACACTCTGCGACACCGCTACTGCAAAGACGACCTTGTCGCTTTTTTTTTTTTAATTTTACTTCGAAATGGTATTAGTAAGCATCGCATTTTTTGGCTTAGAGTACTGGCTCAGATGAGCACTTCCAAAGCCAGTAATAGCTTTTATGGCAGCCTTTTAATTTTATGGGATAAACTGCAGCACCGCCGATCGCTTGTTCGCGCTGCGTGCAATAATGAAGTCTTGCATACACAAGCACATTCGGTAAGCTAAAATTAGCATTGCCATCGGGACGCTATTTTTAGGGCACCCAGAGTGCTTGCGTATGTTATTCTAAAACCTCATATTAGTGATCTTGATATTTTGGAGAGCGATAAATCAGGCAGGGTGACAGGCATGTGATTTCGACTTTATTTTCTTCTACAGTTCCAAACACTGAACACTCGCGCTCACAGGAAAAGATCATAGACGAGAAAATGCCTTCGCCTTTTTGAGAAAGTCAAACAGGGAAATCATGCCATCAGAAAGGCGACACTCCAGCTCTGATAGTTTGCGGTTCTTGCTGACCCACTTGTGCCCCCTGGCCCGCACGGCACCTCTATTTGCAAGCTTCTGCAAAGATCCCCTTGTCAAAGCCTTTTCCCGTATGATCAAATCGATAAAGCTGTAAATGTTCGGGTGGGCCCTCCCTGACACCACGTTTATCTTACGGTGCCATGTCCCCAAGGTTGTTTCGAGAGAGGGAGAAGTAAGGTCAACAAGGGGGACAGACATTGGACACTTAACCTAATCAACTGTTAACGAGCGATAGAAACAAACCGCCTGAACTGATAACAAACAATGGCCGAAGCGGGAAGGTTGTTTCAATATAGGGCGAAATGGGAAAGGATGAAATGAGAAGGTCGTTTTGAGCCGGGTCGAAACGGGAAGGTTGAATTGAGAATGGTTCGAAACGTGAACCACCCACGGCCAGTGTGACACTGGGTTAGAGCCGCAGACAAAACTACAAAAGTTCAGAGAGCTGCAGGAAAAAAGGAGGGGCGGGGTACTTTTAAGAAGAAATGACATGGAGGTAACAGTCCTTTCCAAAGAGAAAATGTATAATTGTCGACCACAACAAATAACAGCAGGCAGCAGAATGTTTCTTCAACCGCTAAGCAAAAGTGAATGCGTGGTTCGCTAGCCAGTTACTTCTCTTGATGCCCGTTTCGCGTATACGGTTCAAAATTCTTTTTAGAACAATCGAGGACATAGGGTCACTGGACACGTCTGTGTCGGAAAGAAGTCCAGCTGCATGTATATGGGGTAGTACAAGGCTGCCAAGACTATGTTCTTTTTTATTCTAGAACTATTTTCGTTCTGGGGACACGGGAGAAGAGGGGCACGCTTACGAGGGAGCCGCGAGCCACAGTTTGGCCACCCCTGTAAGAGAACTTTGAATATTTAGTGTGGCAACTGATCACTATCACCATCTCAGTGTATGATGTCTGTGCCAAACTAATGGTGGTCTTGAGGCCGACAAAGGAAGAATTTGAAGTCGCTACCAAGCAGAGGATGTGTCAAGCCTGTACGTTCGAGACGTCCATACAACATGAATGTAGTCCAATAAATATCTTGGAACAAGTTTGGCTCTAAATCCTTTTGCTGGCAGAAATTTAATCAAGGGACTTATGGGTCACCTGTATTGGCCAGTTTGTACGTTGACACTATCAAAAGTGAAACAAATCTAAAAAGAATTATGAGGAGATTGGACGATTAATTTTCGTCTGCCATTGGCGTGTGAATGTGACGGTGCCCGATATAATACAGTTCCATGACCGCCATTAGTGCGTCGAAAGTGAAACTGCTCTTTGAGCCACCAAATGGCAGTGAATATTGAAAAGGGTTTATAGAGACTCCTCTTCGCCGTCTCTCTACCAGCCCGAAGAGGACAGTGCAGAGGAACATGAGTACCGTCTGCAACACTGCGTCGGAGACGTGCTTGCGGAGGACTGCCGTCGTTGCTCGCAATTTGTTGAGGCCTATCGTGGCTTCGAGTGCAGCTTTCTTGTGCGGGGGTTGCCGGAGGGGCAGCCCCAGAGCTTCAGAGTTGCCTGCCGCACGGCCATAGCCAAGGCCTGGAGCGCTTGGTCACCTCTCTTTGTTGCCACGACGGAACTGGAGCATTACGGTAAGCAACCACAGGAGGGAGCCACCTGCACGGGCAGGTTTCGGGGCAACTATTATCGCACCGCAAGCGTCACTGCCTCAAAATTCAACCTGCCTTTTGCCTAACCTTGCTCTGTATCGCAAACTTTCTCTGTGGTGTGTCTTTCATAGGATCTTTTACACTAATTCATCACTCAGCCAACATCTTTTTACGTAACCTTTCTGTGTTTCGTCCGATCTCAATCATCCTTATAAAGTAGGCATACCAATCTGCAATACCTAGACATCCCACCACTGGTTCATTCCTAAAACCTGCTCAGACTATAGGGACCCTACATTTCGAAGCCAATTCGGCTTCTTCTTCAGGGGTGACTATGGCTATGGCCGTTGAGGAGCAGTGTTCTTTCCGAATTGGCTTTGAAACGAGGGGTCCCCATTTAAAGAAAACGAAAAGGACACTGCTCCTGAACAACCATAGCTGTAGTCGCCCCTGAAGAATAGGCCAAATTGGCTTCAAAATATGGGGTCCTTATGGGAGGGCTTGTTTGGTGTTTGGATGTTTTAATAATTAATTACTCTCAACCAGACAGATCTCTGTCAAAAACAGGGGCAGATCCAGGGGGGGGGGGGGGGGGGGGGGGGGAAGGGGGGGGGGGGGGGGGGGGAAGGGGGGGGGGGGGGGGGGGTCGCTTCCCTCCAAGCAAAGTTGACCCCACCCCTTCTCAGAGGGCAATTTGACATGGGTGGACCCCCCCAAAACGGAGTTCTGGATCTGCCCCTGGTCAAAAGTTTACTTTTAAAACTGGAATTAGTTTCATTGTTTTATCAAGAAATGCTCATGAATGAATCCGGTATGTTGTCAATCACAAGGAGCAGGCTCATACGCAACTTTCTTGTTTGGTGCATACATGCGTGTGTCCTTGCACAGCGTGCTATTAACGCGGGCTGAGGCGGCGGCATTGCTGCGTGGCGTGGACGGCACCAGAAACACGGAGCTCGAAATGGGACGCATGACAAACGTCTGCGTGCCGCGTTTTAGCAAACCTCTATTTACCCGTTGGTTTTGTCCCAACCATCACACAAACTTGCCAACTGCAGTTGCTACGTTCAAAGAAAATGATTGGATTCGCGGTGACCTTATTTTGGTGGAGACGGACTTTGACCTTACATCTTTGACCTCACACTCCGCAGTTATGTCCCAGGATACGGGGCGTGTGCTGAAGTTGCAATCCCCGAATGGGTTACTGCTTGCGTTAAGTTTCCATATTTTTTGTCCAAAAATATTTTGCAAACAGAACAAAGATTTCTTTTGTTATCTCCATCATTTTCGTTTTGCATGAATGTACTCCGACTTTGGGGTCACAGAAATTGGGGAGAAAATGCGTAAACAAATTGAAGTGTCTTTCCTTCCGTCATTGTACTTTGTCACGGGCGTCCTCCAACCGTGAGGTTTGCGGCCGCGTCATTCGCATAGGATGAATGTTCGCAGATTCGGAGTCCACTTAGGGGTATTTTTAGGAGTGGGCGATCCCTAGGTGTTTTTTCTGGAAATCGATATTCCCTCAAAAAGTGAGGTGGGCGAGAACTTAAGGATGGGCAATGACTCGCGATTACGGTATATAGCAAGATTCATAAATCCCCTCAGTTATGCATAGCTGGGCATCTCTTTAGGTTTAATTTTATGTCAAATTTGTTGTTTCTTTGCCATCACAATGTAAGCATTGGACTTTCTCTGACTACACACCATAAATAATGATATATTAAAATTAACTCGGCTTAGAAATGGACAAGTGGAAGCCTGGGAACAACATTCACAAGTTCAGCTGGGTTTTCGTTTAAGCATGGTGCAACAGTAGTGGAAGGCTCGGAGAAACTATTTGATATTCGATTTGAAAATATTGCCTTGCGCGTCCCTGAGCGAGCGCATACGTGGCCGAATGGTTACCTTGCTTGGCTGTCACGCGGAAGATCTGGGTTCGATTCGAGGCAGCAGAATGTTCTTTTATGTATTCTTTCTACTTGGCGTTCTCGCAAATTCGTGAACTTTCCTGTCTGATTGAGTTACGAATGTCCTACACGCTGAACGTTTTCTTCGTTCTTCGTTTCGTCTTCGTTTCGTCACCTTGTCTTCGTTTCGTCACCTTGTCATTCGTGACAATATTCAGCCAAAATTGCCATTCGCTTTGAATTTGCTCCAAACTCAAAATCCACTGTTTGCACATGACTGAGATGAAATGAAGCACACTTGTGTAATTTAGGTGTGGCACGTAAACTTATTTGTGGGGATAGTCTCGTTAAGCGAGTATCAAATAAAGCGAAAGTCAAGGCCTACACCTGCTGAGCGGAATCGGCTGGAACGTTAGGTACTTTCTCCCTACGGAGCCGGTCACGCCGTGACCTCTAAATGCCTCTTACAGCTGTTCTAATCACCGGGCACGACACCCGCGTTCATCACAGCAAACCGGCCCAGGCGAGAGAAATAGGCGGGACAAGTACCGGCTGACAACTGAACATTTACTGGAGAAAATTAAAACAGCACGAGCAATCATTGCAGAAAAAATATGAAATGCCAAAACATACATTGCTTTCTTTTTGTGGTTGTTCCATGGCTGTTTTAACTGTTTTCAATACATGTTCAGCTGTCAGACTGTGCTTTTCTCGCCATTTCTTCCACCTAGCCCCAGTCCACTGTTTTCATATTTATTTAAGAATTGAGGTTGGTTCACAAAGAGGAGGCAAGTGTGTAATCTTTTTTTTTCACTCATATCATGTTATTTTTTTTTTTGACCGCATTCAATTGTTTCTCACTTCATTTATGCAGAATGGGAGGAGCGGAATTTGTGTTATACGAGGACGCACGAAGGTCGCATCGCAACGCGGACAAGTCAGGGTCCGTCCACGGTGCTGTTTTCCAAGGAGCCACTCCTGAGGAGGTTGTTCTTTTTTTGCTATCCTGCCAGCAACTGGAGAACCTTCTAGGGCCACTATAGTCTTGTTCAATACTGCTGAATGTTTTATACTATAGTCAATGATTGACAGGCGAAGAGTTCAGGGGAAGCTCCTCCCACCTCTTCTTCTGAACTCTTAACGTGTCACCAACTATAGACGCAAATACATGTTCTGAACTTCCAAATTTCAGCATTAGTATATTTGATAGGACCGTAGACTCAAATTCGATTATATTCGAAAATATTGAGAGAGTCGCTCTCATGGGCTAGTTTTGCTCACCGGTCATAAATATTATGGTTCATGGATGTTGTTTATTCTGTTATTAAAGATATGCAAAGTGCGGCCTAATTACGTCTGAAATGTTCTGGCATCCACATTGTCCTCATGCAGGATTGAGAAAAAGAGAGTGAACGAGGCCCTAACCAGACGGTGCTGGAGAGAATTGGTTTCTTGCCGAGGATAGCCAGTTTTTAAGTTGCACATTACAGTATTTTCTCTTGATCGCCCGGGTACTTGGGGATTCTGCTTCTCTCGAAAACCATGCCACGCATAAATGGTTTTCCAGTGCCCCATTAAAGCCTTTAAATGACCCCTTTGTTGTTCGGTTTAAAGTTCTGCATAAGTGCATCCCGAATTAAGCGTGGACAATGTCTTGCAGTGTGAACCACAACATCCTCTTCCGGTTTCTCGACGCGCCACCGGACAAGTGGAGCAAGCGGGACGGTGTCGCCCTCGTCATGGGGAAACCGGAGTCGCTTCTGTCTCACGGAGCTGTCTTTGTGAACATGGAAGGTTAGTTAGCTTCACCACCTCCACCTCCTCACCAATCTCTTTAGTACCTTCATTTATTTTCTCTCTCTTCACCACCTCTGTATGCTCTGGCACAACAGTTAGAGGTTGGGACGCCTCGACGACGGTGGCGTTTGCGATTTCCCTTACTTTTTGCCAAAACTTCTGGCACCAATGACCGGGATCGTGCTATCTGACGGCATGATGCGACGGCTTTTGTGACGTCATTTGTTGCCACTTCGGGGCCAGCTTTAATGAGTGTATGGGATAGGACACTGAACAGACCGGTCGAAGACACATACCAGGCACTGTACTCATCGCCTTTCCTATTTCCTGATAGTTTTTTTTTGTTGTTTTTTTTAATGCGAAAGCATTAACTGTCCCATGGAGCGAACCGGCGTTACCAGCTTTCAAAGCCTCGCCGAACAGCACCTAAACTGCCCTGTCCCAATGGAGTGAAGCCTGTCGTCTGTAGCAGCGATCTGATGGATAGGCTTCCATTAGCTGGCGCTCGTCATAGTTTGAAAGAATGAGGCCCCATTGACTTTCGTACGGCGTAGTTCCAAGGACCGCCACCAGAGAATCCCTCTCCATGGCGGCGCAGTGGCCCGGCTGCCGGTAAGAGGGAGGGGCTGGCCGCCGAGCCAGCAGTGCCCGCCTGGGCAGACTCCTTAGTGGCTGCGCAGCCGAGCTCAGCACGATGCAGCCACTTCACGAGAGCGTGCGCTTTGCCATCGGCCATAACCTTGGCAGTAGCGAAACGTGGCCGCCCACACCCGTACGTCGCAGACGAACTAAGGGAGAGGAAGAACGACATTCATGCTTTCTCATTCACAACTCATAAGAAGTGCTTAGGTGTCCTCGGAATTTTTATTTCTCATCCATGTGCAATGTAGTAGTAATCGCGCTTGCCCATAACGTGGGGGCATGCAGCTTTTTCCAGCGAGCATTAGACTGGTGGCATTTGCAGCAACCAATCCGGCCACGCGGGGCGACGTGGAACAATCCCTTGGAGGAGAGCGCCACCCGCTTCATCGTGCGCCGTCAAACACGGGGGGGGGGGGGGGGGGTGGCTGCTCACACGCTCTGCAGCTGCTGTGGTCTGGGGGTCGGCTACACAGAGTCTTGCGCATATCAACGGCTCGCGTCTTCTGGCCTCCCTGTTTTATATCTTTTATATTCTCTCAATGATGACATTGTTAGTAAGCCCTCATGCTGATAAGCCCTCAGTCATATGAAATGCTGGAGTGGTTTATGATGGAAGGCACAGTGCTGCCTCTTAAGGCGCTTTCCTACCGGCGATGCGATTTAGTCGCGCGATAACTTTCATCGCAAAAGCGACCATCGCGGGCAAAAGGCGACGGGATTTAAGCAATCGCTACTCGACTCGACTTTTTTGCGATGCGATCTAGTCGCGGAGCAGCTGAGCCAATTAACGGCGTTCGGAGCAAGAGTTTTCGAGAAACGACTCGCCAACGAAGGCGTTGGACTCGCTCATCACGCACGCCGGTGTGACCATCTAACTTTTTTTGCGATGCAATCTAGTCGCATCGCGCGACTGCTTACATCGCCGGTGGAATGCGCCTTTAAAGTAGATAAAAACTGGACCAATATAAGGCCTCTTGACTTAATCTTTTTTGCCAGACTTTTCCCGAATTTCCAACTTTTTTCAACCAATCCCACATGTTGAATTGATTAATGCAGTCATTCTTTTTTAATTAGAAGCTAATCAAGAACTTAAGCAATAATAATGTTGTGTGTGTATCTTACAGCCCAAAGCTGGTCAGCTCCAGTAGGTATCTGGTGCCTCATCTGTAGTTAAGCACTTTAGCCAGTGCGGTACAACCGGTAGCAGCCTGGGGTTCTTAATGTACACCGCGCATTAGTGATACACGACTGCACGCCGGTACGATGCTCATCCAGATGGAAACAGGCAGGGGTGGAGATTGAACCCGGTATCCCTGGATTCTGCAGTGCGAGCTTTTGCTCCACGTGCTCCAAGCTTGAGTGCGCTAGCCCACTCGGCCAACGATCCTCCTAATCAATACACCTAAGCACTTCTTATGAGTTGTGAATCCGAAAGCACGCACGCCGTTGTTCGCTCCCTTCTTTAATCTGCGGCGTACAACGCGCTGACTTTGGGCGTGGAACGGTGGAGCCGCTGCCTCACGGACACGCAACGCCATCGGGTGAGCAATCGTTCAAACTGTCATGTGCCTTGCGGTGCAAGGAAGGAACGGACAACAACGTAGTTCCCAGCAGAACGAACCCCTTGGTTTATTCCATGCGCTGTAGTATATATTGCCACGCGCAGTACAACCGATAAGAGGCGAGCGAACGTGGTGATCACTGATAACACAACAGTGTGATAACACAGTCAGGATGACACCACAGAAACTGACGCGCAGCGGCCAATGGGAGCCTCGTCGATGTGCGCGAGCCAATGGGACCGAAGTGTAAAAGGTGCTGTTGACTAGCTTTGCGCGTGGTTTCGTTAAGGTGCCTTTTTGCATGGTTTCAAAACTGATGACGTCGGCTCGCTCCATGAGACCAGTTAATGCTTTCACATTAAAACTCGCGCAGTCCAAATGAATAGGAAAAAAAGGAGAGATGCCCAAAGCACCAACTATCAAAGCTGTGCATTGTTTGCTTGTTGTGCACCTCGTTTCTTTTTTTTCTTTTTTTTTTTTCGTTATTGCTGTGTTTTTGCATTGTCTTACGGCAGAGCAATTAACAGGTTTGTTATCGAACGACTGTGCACGTTTTGATGGTCTAACCCACTTTAACAGCAGTGAGGCTGTTTCAAGGCTGGTTCACACTCTTCAGTTTGTCCACAACCAAGTTTTTGTGAACTCTTACGACAAGAGAACACGCTGGCACTATATATGAGGTGTCAGCGTTCATTAGAGCTATGGTTTTTCAGTATTTGCAAGGTCAAATGTATACATCTGGTCTCGCAAATACCAAAAAACCTTCGCTGTAGTGAAAAACGTTCGCTTTAGCTCAGTGGTGGCCAAACTGCGGCTCGCGAGCTGCATACGGCCCCTTGCTGGTCCCAAGTGCAGCCGGCGGCTCTTTGGTAGGCGTGTCCCCCTTCACCTTCTGTGTCCCCAAAACGAAAAGATATCTAGAATTTAGAAAAAAAGCTGAATCTTGGCAGCCTTGTACTACACTACAAACATACAGCTGGATTGCTTTTTGACACGTAGATCTGTTCAGTGACCCTGTTTCCTTATTGTTCTAGAACGAACTTTGAACTGTGTATGCATAATGGGCATTGGGGTCAGTGGCTGGCTAGCAAACCATGCATTCATTTTTGCTTAGTGGTTGAAGAAGCATTCTGCTGCCTGGTGGTATTTGTTGTAGTTGACAGTTATACTTGTCCCCTTTGAAAAGGGCTGTTCTCTCCTTGTCGTTTCTTGTTAAAAGTAGGCCTCCCCTCCCCTCCTTTCTTTTTTCTTGCCGTTGTCTGAACTTCTGTTGTTTAGTCTGCAGCTCTAACCTCACGTCACTCTGGCCACCCCTGCTCTAGTGGCTATCTACTAGAAATGGTCGTTTATAGCCTTGTCAAAAGTTCTTTGAGACAACAGTGAAAGAATGATGCACAAAAAAGAAAAAGAAAAACCACATGAAAATCGCGAGTGCTCCACTGCTCCCCAATAGACGGCGCTAGTATGTTCTCTCCCCGTAACAGATCGCAAGAGGTTTTGATGCACCTGTTCGTAAGCAGTCACCATACGTAAGCCAGCCTTTAGAGTCGCTCGTTGTCCTTTGTCGTTTGTTTGTTCCTCGTTTGCTCTCTCCCGTTTGTTTGTTCAGCACTCCTTTTGCCGCACGCAGGCGAGATCTTCGTCGAGGGGCACCGCACTACGACGCAGCTCCCGTCCTTGGGCAAGGGCTCGGATGCGACGTTGGACGTCGAGGTGGTCTCAGAGCGCAAGGTCAGGGTCACGGTGGGCTGCAGGGACAGGCAGGCGACCTACGACCTCAGGGTCAAGAACCACGACTTGGACGACACAAGGGTCCTCTCGACACTCCGCTTTGCCGCCTTCTTCGAGGAGGAGGGCTGGAAGCTGCTCGTCGAGTGAAGACCGCGTCTGCTCGCGTGCGTCTGGCTCGGCAGCGCCTGCCGCTGTCGAGCCTGGAACTTTGCTCGTGGGGCAGTTTGATGGCGAATGCGGCCATTCCTCCCGGTGGGTGTGGGGGCATGTAACCAAACAGTCGCCGTTTGCAACTGTTTGGCAAATGGTGTCGGCAAGGATGGAGCTGCCTCTCCTCTAAACCAGGCATGAGCTACGACTCCCGTTAGTTGCGATTTGTGAATGAACGCAACTATGATCTTCTGGAGAAACAATACTCCTTGGCCACTGTACTGACTGCTCTGTTTTTCCTTTGTCTCATCGTCGCGCTCCAAAATTATAAGGATCCCCGTCGGGAATCTCATGTCGTGCCTCACCATACTCTGCGTTTATGGCGAAAGCTACGTTCCAAGCGAGCCGTTCGGAGCTTTCGAGTGCACTAATTTGTGTGCGGGAACAATTGTGTGCTTCGCCTTGTCGCTCTGATTGACTCGTGGAGACTGTAGTGCTTGCTGTTTGTTAGGCCATACCGAAACGGAGTGCAGCATTCAACGGGGCCACAACTAAGGTCTTTGGCTTATGGGTTTGAACCTGTGGTGCACGTCACAGCCCTTGCATAAAAAACTGCTGAAGAACTTCCGCAAAGAAACAAGTGGCATGAATAACCTTCCAAAGGGTAAGATTTAAAATATCGAAGTGTCATTGAGATGGGGGCAGATCGTTCAAGATTAAGGGTCCTTTACAACCACCTGAATACACCTTCAAAGCTGTAGTCGTTCAGAAGCTGCTTTAGTAATGGCATGGACTTAAAGGGGTACTCCACAGATTTTTTTCATTGTCTCCAATTTGCCTGAAATTTTGCTAAGCTAACCAACAAACATCGCTAAAATAGTACTCCAAATACTAGGTCAAACTATTGTTTTTTCGCAAAGTTGTTGAATTTACAGTTTTGGTCCTCACCGTGTTTTTCAAACTGAAAGTCTCTACTGGCGACAACAAAAAAGTGCCGTCAGTGGAAGGCAGGGGTTCACTCTTTGGACTGTAGAAGTTATTCCCAACTAATTCGAAGCAGTTTCATGGTGTCAAATAAGTGCTTTCGAAGCTCGCTCCAGTACCCGCGCTCCAGCACAGAACAAATGATTGGCACATTCTTTTTCTAGACTGCTTGCTCGACTGGTAAGCCTTGCTGCCACTGACGTCACTGCACTGAAAAGTGCGCGTATATTTGAATGTTGGTTTTTGCATCACTTTCATTTGCCGATTTCACAATAATTATTATGAATTTCGCGATACCAAATGGCATACCGGAAATCTTAAAGGCCGGGGAGTCAGAAAATATAGTTAGTTGAGGTAGCTCAAAAAAAATCTGTGGAGTACCCCCTTTAACCAGCAGTATTCTTGTAGCTTCAGTCCAGCCAAGATCATCAAAAGAGCTGTTTGTGATGCAGGGTTAATCCAAGGTCTCCAAAGCTAAGAGGAGATCGTCCTGCCAGCCTACCGGGACGAGTTTTGAGGTTGAATGAAGGTCACTTTACTGTCGAGTTCAGAGTCCCATCTTCAAAATGTACAAAGTGAACTTTAGAATCGGCTGAGACAGGGTGCCTGGGGTCCGATTTTAGTCAAAGCAAGAGCAAGACCGATCTCGGGTGCCGATTGTGCGTGGCGCCACAGCTTGTGTGTAAGAAACCAATGAGATATTTTCGACCCTTTCTCGAGTTCACGATCGGGCAATATTTTGGTGAGAACGTCTTGCCAACATAAAAAATAGTGACAGAGGTCTCACAGCCTCTGATGTGCTTGTCCTTAGTACTCCTTCATCCCTTGGTCGACGTTAGCTTGTGTACGGTAGCGGAACAACTTAAAATTTGCATACGAGGCGCAGGTTGTCAGTGGCTTCCAACGTGGAATAGCAGATGATCACAATTCAAGCCCGCGTCCGATCTCACTTTGCCGCAGTGCTCAACTCGTAGCAGACAATCAACTTTTTTTCCGGTCTGTTGGCAGACGAGGTACGGTGTTGTCTCATTTCATTTCCGCCTGCGAATGGTGCTTCGTAGCAGACAAACTGCGTCTTTTGCTCGTGTTAGCAGACGAAGGCTCTACGAACACCACCTGCGCTCACTTAGCATCAGGTATACTTCATTTCGCTCTTGCTTTTGCAGCGACCAAAATCGGGCGCCTGGGGTGCATCTTCGACTGGCGTGCTTACTGCACTTCTATTTTTTCCCCTCAATTTTCTGCTGGCTGCGGCACAACAGTGTAATACTACTGCAGTCCGGGGGGCAGCACGGCAGCAAAACACGATGCAGCTGAGGCCCGTTCTGCTACAACTCGATCCGCATCTGGCTATTCTACAGAAACTCGAGCAGCCGTGGGTGCAGGCACTTTTACGACAGCAGTACCCACATCTGTCCCTACTTTCCATTGACACTTTTATGGCTAGCCACCAGGACTGTAACAACCCCTCAGTATCACATCCAGTGGCTTCTGCGATGCGTTCCGTCGCCATTTCTGAAACTCTCCGTTGCGCAAGTATAGTATGGCACACCGTTACTTGACGGATGCTTTTTGTGTAGGAACTGCTACAAACACCATAAATGAAACAGTGCAGACAGTGTCCCCTCAGTGCTGTTCAGATAAGGGATCTCTCTAGATCTTTTATGGATTTTTTCTTTTGTTCACCTTTAGTTGCAGGGTTAGGATAACAGTACTAGTCCCTCATACAAAGCTCTCTGCTGACCACGATTTGGGGCTCTTCCCAAGTGGAAAAACTGGAGGGCTTTGTGCGATAAGCTTGTCTTGCTTCTCTTATCTTGTAATACAGTATAGTTAAGGCACGCACTTCTGGAGCGCCGTTGCTGGGGCAAGGTTTATGGGCAGCCAAAACTCAATCGGGCAGCTCGGGTATGTTTTGGGATGCTTGCGCTTTGTCACGACAGGCAGATTGCATCACAACGAGCTCGGCTTAATATCGAGGTTCTAGCTTTACATATAATAGCTGCTTAGCTCCTATTCTTCCAAGCACTTAGGCAGGGAGTGTAGCCAGGCTTTACCTCCCCCCCCTGCCCCCCAACCATTTTTTTTTTTTTTTGTAGCTCCTTTTTTACCGAGGGCATTTTGACCTAGGTGCCTCCAACCTGAAATACAATCCTGGCTACATTTCTGTATTCTTCTATGCGCAAAGTTAAACATGTCACACTTGCTGAGAGAGGCAACGGATGTCTGAAACCCGCTGGGGTAGAACGTTGGAAGTGCACTCGTCTTCGCAATTAAGTTTGGACTGCCAGGACGTGCTTTCACTGTCGCAAGTTTACCGGCCAATAACAGGCCAGTAGCGTCTTGTCTTGTGCCTGTTTACTAGTATTAAACGTGACTGGATGGGCGACGGTCTCTCAGCACTTGCATAGTCATTTCGTAATTAAAGAGGATGGCCAACCAAGCTCTAGTTAGGAACCCAATGTTTCAAGGCCTGCTAGGCCTCTCCTTTGAAGGGGCTATTTCTTGTTGTTTCGGATCGTTTTTTGGGCTATGGCGATGGCCAATGAGGAGCAGTTTTATTGTTGTCTTCTACAATGGTGTGTTTGTCCTTGGACTGATATGGCAAAGCTTGTCAATGGAGGCAGATGGTTTAGAGGCGGGACCTATACACCACCGTACGGTAAAGACAAGACTGCTCTCAGCGGTCACAACTGTATTGTGGCGGACCAGGGGTCCAATGATTATGCGGGCGAGGGTGGTCCCACGATTGAAGCCCAGAGCACAATGCAGTCTGTACGCAGGCAGCATGCCATCTTGCACTCCAGGACTAGAAGATGGTAACAAAAAGGGGCAGATTGAACATTTCATTGCATTCTATAGAGTTCTTGTTCTATTTAGAGCCCAGTTTAGACCCTTTTCAAAAGTCTATCAGGCAACATTGGCTGCATGCGGTTGGATCGGAGTCAACGCCGACGCAGTGCTCGTTTTCAATACGGGCCGAGCGGAGTTCACGCCGAACGCCGATGCAGGCCTCCTGTCCCATACACGCTCCGAACATGTGAGCGAGCAATGGCGGACAGGCGTTGGCGCAAACTTTTGAAAAGGGTATATTCCTACAGAATTTAACCGGTCTTTGTCGTTGCAGCACTGCTGCCGGCTTACAGACGGTGCCATGTTGATGATGACACTCGAAGATTCTCCTCCCCATGGGGGAGGAGGAAACAGGCCACGGGGGACAGGGTAGAAGGGAAAAAGGAGGAAGCAGGGGAAAAGCGGAAAGCGCGAACTGGTCGTCGGTCTTTAGCCAGATAGATTTCTGTCGGATGTTTACGTTCAGTCATTTCATCTTATTTCATCACCGACAGAAGGCTGTACACGATTGCAAGTGTAGAATCCTGGGTCCTGCCAAGCCTCCGCTCGTGCAAGCAAGGAGGTACTACCTCCACACGCGTGCTGCTCGTGTTTGCGTGCAGGGGCACCAACTGGGATGCCATGCACGCAATCGCATATATGGTTGCTGCCTTTTCGAATGAAAGTAGTACCGCCTTATAGTTTGTTGAAGAGTCGTTTTAGCCGATTGGAACCGCTCCGCAGTGTCCCACCTATGTTCCCTAGAGTCGACAAAATAAAGTGCCACCACACTTTACATTCGCATCATGTTTATTGTTTCTCTTCTGTCTTGTCAGTTGTGTTTAGTATGTGAGGAGGTTGATGTCGATTCTTGCAGCGTTCTTCATCCCGAACAGCCTCTACATCCGCAGTGGACGCACTCTACAATCTTGCCCTGCATTTTGGGACGAGAAGAGCAGACCGTCAGGACCCAAAGGGTGAAGACGCAGAATACTGCGTGCTCTCACGTATTACACACATAGCACCATGAAACATGCCGAGACCATGCAGATGCTTCTTTGTTCTCGAAGGCAAACCTGGATGATGGCTGATCACAGTGTAGACCACTTACAACGTAACCACTTATAGTGCAGGACCGGGTATAACGCGGCTTTTTTCAACCACCGGTTCGCCTCTCATAGAACTCCATGTAATTACATACCGCTTAAAATGCAGGCGCGCGAAGGGAAATACCGGTTATAGCGCGGTTTCTGAAACAGCCCGCCGACCGACCAGCGCAGCGAGCACGCTTCCCTGTGCGACACTAGATAACGGCGCCGACGCAAGCAGCACTCGCGGGGGCAAGGATGGCAAGGAGGCTGCTCAAAGAAGCGGGGAGAAGAGAAGAGGGAGGCTTCAGTTGCCATAGCGACGGAGGGACGCACGCACGTGTCTTTCACGACGCGAGGCGTTGAAGCGAGCCCAACCAGCCCAACTTTCCCCCACTGCATTGGAAACAACCGCAACGACAGACCAATTGCAGGTGGAGGAGAACTGGTCACGCGCGTTGCATGCCGGTCGCGGGCTGGCTTCTTCTATCCGCAAACATGGTGTCGGTGGTTATCGTCGACATAGACGGCGTGATGGAAGCTTATCGTTTCGCGTAAAAGTGCTATCCTTGACTGTGAATTTTCGGCGTGTGTCGCTATGATAACCCAGCACGTACTAGAAGGGAAGATCCACCTACTCGTGCGGCACTGTCGTGGCGGCACTCTCAAGACAACAGAAACGCCCGTGTCATTGTGTTTGTTTACTTCAACTACAGTGGTGCTTTCTAAGCATTTGTGTTTTTGAACATTGCCCGGATTTTTTATTTGGAACATTTCATGCGTGTGCTCAAGTTGAAGGTATTACTGGCGCGTACCGTAAAAAGATGCGAATTTTCACGCGTTTTCATCAACGGAGAAAAGTGATTAGGGTTAGCAATCCTGAATGCTCGCAACGTCCGTCCGCAACCCGCGACGCCGTTAAAAGGCTGCGCCAGGCGAAAGTCGCTCATTTCTTTCAAAATGTGTGATACACTTAAGAGAGAATTGTACTATTCTGGTGAAGTAAAGACTCCTCAAACTAAGCTTTATTTTTCATCTAATATAAAATAAATTGTTTTACAAAGGTAAGTTGTCTCATGGTGTGTATTTTGGCCTGAAAAATGGATGTCTTGGTTATAGCGCGGTACCGCTTATAGTGCGGATTTTCGCGACTCCCGCGACATACGTTATATGCGGTCTACACTTTATTGTTAGAAGCAAAAGAGTAACGAGCTTGCAAACCTTGTTGCCAACGGTACACTTGGGGCAACTTCCCCCTGTGATGCAGTCAAAGGTATGGGAACACGTGTGCTTCCACACTTCAAGCACCAGTTAAAGTGGTACGCGCACCCCTCCATAAATGACGCAGTAGATTGTCCCCGAGCATACGGTAAAATTTTGGCCATGCATCTAAGTCACGATAACCACCCATTTCTTACTTTTGAAAAAGTAAAAGAAATATTAAGTTTTGAGACAAACCAGCTCAAATTTCGAAATCGGGCACAAATGATGTTCTGCTTACTGTCGAAGCATTAAGCTTAAGAAGTTTCAGGATAAAAAAAAAAAGGCTTGTGCACCCCCCTAAATGTGACGTGAAGAGCACCCGGTTGCACAAGATTTATTTGTTTAGGATCTAAAAATGCACACTACTAAACACAAAATGCTGTTTGGTCGAGTCCATTGGTTACTAGACGGCACGAGGCTTTGCTCGCTCGCTTCTGTTTTGTCTATCGCAAACATAAAAATGCAATACGAATTGTTGAAACCGAAATGAACAAACTAAGCGCCAACAATACAGCGGACTCCTTTTTCGCTAACAAAATAAGGTACTAGTTCGAGATTGCAGAGTGGCTTGAGGATAACAATTTATAGGTCATTCGCAAATGTGAAGATTGGTGGAATAATGCCAATGTGGTGTGCACGGGTGGTGATTATGAAATCGAAAGTTTGACAGAGTTTTGACTCGACACTACTTGAAGCCGTCGGCACAGTCTTGGAGGAGGCGACGCACTATTTAATCGACAGCGAAGAGAGCTGAGGTAGGTGTGGTGCACCTGCGGGCACAGCATGTCCTGCATTCTTAACCCGTCGCCGAGAACAAGCCACATCGGTCGAGGTGCCTGCAATCCGAGGGACGCTTAATGCGGAGAAGGTCGCGTAACCGAGATTTCGGCTGCACGTGAAACGGTTCCCAGGTGATAAAAAAAACTGCTCCGACTTTACTCAACAAGATTAACAATTTAATCAAACGTTTCGTCTCCCATGCAGGAAACATCGTCAGTGAAACCTACAAGCAGGAAACGTCAAGCAGGAAACCTGCTTGTAGGTTTCACTGACGTTTCCTGCTTGTAGGTTTCACTGACTATGTTTCCTGCATGGGAGACGAAACGTTTGATTAAATTGTTAATCTTGTTGAGTAAAGTCGGAGCAGTTTTTTTTATCATTATGATTCCCGGCTTTTGGAATATTTTTGGTTCCCAGGTGGTCCAAACAAATCCTGTTCTTCGATGGGGCATTGCAGATGCCCTTCCTCAGTTTGGCACATAAAACCCTCGATAGTGACTTTGGCGGTGGTCCACCGCCGGTTTGAGTCGAACATACCTCTTCCAGCTTTCCTTTGGGCACACGGCAGATGCAGTTGGTCCCGAAGTTGGTGTCCCTCGTCTGGATGCAGCGCAGGCAGCACAGGTTCTCGTAGCCCTGCTTCTTCCACTTGGCCATCAGGTTGCGGTCGGCCAGGCCCTCCTTGATGCAGTACTCAAACAGCTCTGCACCAGATCGACAAAATGGAGTCGATTCACAAATGGAAATTAAGAGGAAAGGGTAAGAATGCAAGCAGTACAAAGCATTTGGTAAAAAAAAAAAAAAATTTTTTTCTTGAAGGAAAAATAAACTATACACTCCGTGCGGGAACTATAGGGGGCGCTTTGAAAAACGCGCGCAGCGCCGCTAGCGGAGGAGCTGGCGTTCAACTGTGAGGCGCGTTCAGCAGCCTGCGACGCCTTTTTGCATGCCAAGCTGTGGCGGCGGAAGCGCGCACGGACGAAACTTTTGCTTTTTGAGCCGATAAGTAGAGGGTGACGTTGCATGAGTGCTGGGGCAGAAGGGCATTTAGCTGTTCTCCACTTCTTATATATTGAGCTTGAGTCGTTATTAGGGGTAATTTCTCTAGTTGCGGCTGAAAAAGGAGTTGGAGCAATTTTCCGAAAAACAAGACGGCCGCCACCATAATTGCTCTGAGTGGGAAATTTGTTTCCCCCGTCGCTGTAAACCTAGGACTGCTGGAATGATGATATTTGGAGGTGAGTGAGATGTTCACTAAGTTTGTGCACGAAGAGTGACAAGTTTATTTAAAGGGACACTGACACCCCCCAAAATTTTTTTTTCATTTTTTGCCCGGCGCTTCATTAAAGCCTGTTCACACATACAGCGGAGCGCTAAGTTAGCGCTACGTGAGCGCTCCAAGGAGCGCTCATGTGGCGCTTCCAGCGCGTGACTTCGTTCTAATATAGCGCGTGGTTAGCGCTTTAGTAGCGCCTTGTTAGCGCTCCTGTAGCGCTTTGTTAGCGCTCCAGTAGCGCTTTGTTAGCGCTCCAGTAGCGCTTTGTTAGAGCTTCAGTAGCGCTTTGTTAGAGCTTCAGTAGCGCTTCTTGTACCGCGGTGCTGCGGATTAGCAGGTGCACTGCGGTTTCGGTTCCTGTGGATGGGTGTGCATCAGCAGCACCATGGCGGACATGTGTGATGTTGAAATAGAAGTGCGAAAAATGCTCTTACATACTCGATTCGTGCATATCTGTGTGGACGGCTTAACTCCCAGAAGAGCCTTCTGGGTGCACGAAATCTTTCGCCACCGAGATACCGACGGGTACCCGGCGAACCTTGTTCCTATAGGCTGAGGTACCGAGACAGAGCTCTTTCGAAGTCGATTATTTTTACCTGCGTGTCCTTAAAATTAGCGTCACACATATGGAATGGAAAGCTGAGGTCGTACCCAATCAATTAGTCGCTCAGAGTCCATGACTCTGGGTCCCCTGCCCGACCCTCTGCTTAGAGAGCGGCTCTTTTACTTCCTCTTCTTTCAATGCCAAAGGAAAAACAACAACCAAGGAATCACCGTGCACGCGCTATTCCGCAGCAGCAAGTACGGCACAAGGGGCGTGAGAGCGCTAACAGAGCGCTAACAAAGCGCTGCTGAAGCGCTAACAGAGCGCCACATCACGCGCCAGGAAGCCCCACATGAGCGCTCCTTGGAGCGCTCACGTAGCGCTAACTTAGCGCTCCGCTGTATGTGTGAACCGGCCTTTATGGTGTCGGAGGACTACCCAATTAATATTTTGCAACAGAGTAGCATATTTTTTTAATAAAGCCAAAAGACGCAACTGCTCAAAACCGAAACCGAAACCCGACGGAGGTCGGAGAAGCGGAGAGAAGAGAGTGAGTGGCGGAAGTCACGTGGCTACACCCGACCGTGCGTTTTTTTGTTTTTTGTTTTCTCCTCTCGGTAGCAGACGACACGACATGCGGCGTGCGATTCTTTTGCAGTTATGTTTGTTCCGCTCGTTGTTCTGTACTAAAGATGAGTTGTTTTGTACATTGAAGATTTGGAGATGAGTAGTGAGTGCCCGTGGTGAATTTCCATGATCGGCTCCGAAAAGAATACACCCAAGATGTTGCGTGAAGAGCTGGCTCACATGTCCTTCATCCGAAAAAAAGTGGCATTGTGCGACAGAGTTTCCGAAAGATCAACGGGATCGGGACCAATGGCTGGCTGCAATTCCTGTAGAACATATACGGGCACCTCGGAAAGCGGATGCTATCTGATTTATATGCTCTTTGCATTTTGCGGAAAGTGATTACATTGAGTTCGCAGGTGCCAAAACGGAAATCCCATACCATTTAATTCAGCGAAGTATCGTCCACAACATTTGTTTGTTTCTTCAGTGATGATTGGTTAAAAAAAGAAAAAGGTATGTAAACATCAGAAAATGTTTGAAAAAAAATAAAAATAAAGTTTCACGGGGGATTGAACCCGGTCCTACCGCATGTGAACCGGACGTCTTTGCCACTGAGCTACTGCAGCATCTCTCTTCTGTTGGATCTCCTTCCTTAGTAATAGTTGAGCCGGTAAACTGTAAGTTGGAAAGTTTGCTGTCGATTTTTCTCTAGCAAAAGCACTCCCGGGTCGAAGTCGGGAAGCACCACGCTTTGGGGACATTCGCACCTAGTAAAGAAATCGTACCCGTGCATATTCAACTCGAAGTAGACACGTCGTGCTTGACGTTTGCGCGAGCGATGTCTTCAGCCACGAGAAGGGAGCGACGGCTCGGCGACGTCTTTGTGCAAATAGGCTTGGTGGCCGGGCGTCTCGTACGGGATGAATACCAATTCTTTTGATCAGTCCCAAATTTCATTTTAACGGTAGACAGAATTCGCCGGTAAAACGAACGACAGTTCTGAAATAGAGGTCCCACGCCCGCCGTCCGCTGCCTTCGCCGTCCCCGCGAGTCCCACGATACGCGAAACGACGAACGCACAGAATGCTTCCGGTTGTCTGTGGAACGTTCTTTTTTTCAATCAACGTATTTACAGCTTTTTAGAAGCCACAAAAAATGGGTTTCATATTTTTTTCTATTTTTAATATTGAGTGTGTGCCTTGAGTGACCCACGACTTTGATTAAATTTGGTGGTCGCATCGATACCTTAGAAAATGGCCCGTGACCGCGAAAAAGAGAGTGAGCGAGACTCGAACCGGCCAGTTCTTGATCGGCGGTTTTCGGGCGGAAAGAAACCGAATTTCGAGCCGCAAATTCTGTTCTGGGTAGTTGAGCTCTCATATGTCACGTACAACTAAAAACCTCGGCGAGCATAAATACCCTGTCAGTGTCCCTTTAAGACAGCACGTGTGGAAGTTATGTTTCTAACGAATAAAGAAATCAAGCTGTACGGGATATCCAATATTGGACCCAAAATGTTGTGTTATAGCGGGCTGTGCAAAGGGCAGATTTGGGCACACAGGTGCTTGGACTTGACAGTAACATGACACAGCACTTAATATACAAAAAAAAAAAAGGTGGCATAGGGAAACCAGGTGAAAATTTGGTTTGGGCGGCGTAACTCAATGGGAACCGGTTTTTAACATGAAAAGGCTGTCAAGAGAATACCACTCGTCGTGGGAGGTGGAGACTTTACAGGTACGAAGGGACTAGTGGACTGTACTCCCAATTGAAACAACTTTACGAAAGGTAGTTCCAAAGCCGAGAAGACAAAGTTGTCGGCCAACACACGCTTTGGCCGCCAAGGGCTTTTGTGGTCAGCTGTTGTGTAATAACCTGTTGTGCGAGGTGCTGATTTTCGGCGCACAGGTACTTTGACATGACCGTCACTTGGCACAACACTTATTATAACAAAAGAGTTGGCATAGAGAAACCAGGTGAAAATTTAGTTTGGGCGGCGTAACTAAATGGCAACTGGCTTTGACCGTCAAAGGCTGTCAGATAATACCACTCATCGTGGGAGGTGCACACTTTACAGGTAGGAAGGGACCAGTGGACGGGTACTTCCAGTTCAAACCACTTTGCGATAGGTGGCTCTAAAGCCGAGAAAAAAATTGTTGTCTACAGAACTCGGGGTATCAGCGTTTCCACATCCAAAACGAGGCTGATCAAGAAAGAAAGCACACCACATAAACTTCCATACTCAAACGTCGATTCTCTAGAGATTCCGAGTTTCATTGTTGTTTTCTTTAGATTTATATTTGTCACTTTTTCTACCGTTCCAATCTTTCTTCATGAAGTACAGATTGCGTGCCATACTTGTCCGGAAATATCATCGACACGTACGATAGGGACGAAACTTCTTTGGAGGGCATTCCTCCAACGAAATTGGCACTGCGTACCCGCGAGTGTGGGATGGCATTTCAGTTCGTCCCATCGGCGCTGACACATGTAGGCGTTACTGGTACGAAAACAAACGCAGAGCGCAAAGCGGCAGTGTAGAATATGTCAGCCGTGCCGACACAGTGGCAGACATGATCGGGAGACCAAATTTCTCGCGTCGTATGGGACGGTTCCATCGTTGTCGCTGTCCCACAAAACATCGGCGAGGTGAAAAACTGTGAAACTTTGTCTCCACCAGATACGCCGCATAACTATTGAAGCACTTAATGACGTAGCACAGGCAGCACTTCATGCTGTGAACCCAGTGCAACCGCACCACTCCGACTTCAATGCGTACCAACGTACGCGGCATGGTTTCGGTTTCGTTTTCTCTGGGGTTCTCACTGCCTACCTTCGGTACCGGCCGCGCGGCGGCGCGCCAATCGCGTCGCACGGAGTGTATACGTCGCCAAATGCTTAATCTCGCCCTAGTTCAACCGCTAACAGTTAGAACCAGGTGCCAAAGTTTCAAAACTTGCCATTGCCAGATTCAAAAGTTACGAGCGATGTTCGGGCACTTTCAATGAAGAAATGGGGTTCATTCTCAGTAGCAGACGCCATTCATCTCCGTGTATTCGCAGGCTTCGTCTGCCGCCATTACTGCGCTGAAAATTTCCGAAAAATCACTTGCAACTTCTGAATCAGGTGACTGCAAGTTTTGAAATCTTGGCATCCGATTCCGACCGCTAGTGCCACATGTTGGAGAGGGTGAACATTTGACGATGCACAATTTATTTTTGCAGCGAGAAAAATGTGGTTCTCTTTATCTGCCGAACACCCGGTACTTTAAAGGGGCACAAAACCACTTTCTGCAATGGTCTATTTATGGTCGCAGCTCAATTCATGGGCTCTAAGCCTCTTAAAAAGCCAAACAGTACATTCACGCATGGCCGATTTCTCTATTAAAGTCGGTGTGAAAGATTGATTGCCTCTGAAGTATCGCCGACACCAAATGGCATCATCGGGCGAGGGTTTACAGGGCTGGCATTTCTCGTCCGACAGCGATTTCCTTCGCTGAGTGGTAACCTTTTGTTCACACCTTAGTATAGTCCGTTGCAACTCAAGAAAGGAGGACGAGGGTAAGACGAGCCAGTGAGAAGGAAGCAGGTGGAACGCTGGAGAAGAGAGGGGGAAACCTCCTCTCTTTAGCGTCTTGTCTGCTTCCTCCCCCCGGCTTGTCTTACCCTCGCCCTACCTTCTTGAGTTGTAATGAGCTATAGTAAATGTAGTCTCTCGTTTTCCAAAATACTGCCTGTGTTGCTCCTCTGGATTGGGCATGCAACAAGGCAACTTCCCCAAAAGGTACCTTTAGATAAAGGACCTTTATGGTCCGTGGCGGCAAATCAGTTTGCAGTCCCCTGCGCGTGGTATATGTTTGCGACCCAACCGCGTGGGCTGATCCGCCTATCGCAAACGGACCTACATTAAAGCTGCCTTTAAGCATGCCCTGTGAATGGGGTAAAGGTCAGTCAAATTCGTAAGGCCAACTTAACACAGTCTAATGTCTTCGCTGTAATAAAGTAGTGAGGTAGGCAAGTTCGTTCCCGGACAAAAATTCAAGATGGTGCACAAAAAAAGCATTGGCTGAGGAGAGCATTGCACAAGACAAGCTCCAGCTATCAGCTGAACATTTATTGAAAAGCCAGCTCGAGCAAAGTGACTGTTCATTTTCATTGTTTTTCCTGTAACCTCTTAGCTTGAGATGTCTTCTCAATTAATGTTCAGTCGATGGTCGGTGTTCCTCTTGCGTACTTCACTCCACAAGTCTGAGTGTTTTTCTGCTCAGTTATTACTTTCTCGACTGTAGAAGAGTGACCTTGTCAGAGGGTTTATACGTTTCTTGAATGATATTTCATTGGTTTTGGTTTTCTTTTCATCCATTGCCCTATAACCCTGTACCATGGCTCAAGCCAACCGTCAGCAATGTGACTGCTCCTCCTCGTTGCTACATCAACTCGTAAGGTGGAAAAGATGCGCTACACTCACCACATTACTTGCAGAAAGAAAGATCCTGCCTGAAGAAGTTTGCACTTGAAAACCTTCGCGCACGTTTAGAAACGAATGAACGTTCGGTGCTCGTCACCTTTGCCGACCGGGATAGGTGGTCAAGTGTGTTACGGCGCCACTGCTCGGAGCAAGTATTCGCTTTTTCTTTCACAAGTTGAAACGTGTTGGTGCCAATGAGCAAATATCACCCAACTACTTCCGGTGCTGAAGTAGACGGCGGGTTTCGCAGTATTTGGGACATCAAATATACACACCATCTTTGGAAATGGCCACTTTTAGCACCATCAGACTTAGGTCACTCTTATGATAAAAGAATGACGAGTAAGAAATGAGGAGTTAACCGGAAGTGTGCTGGGGCTACCCAATAGATGGCGCCACTGAGTTTGTTGCCAAACAAAAAAGGTCGAATAGCGAAATCTCGCGCTGCAGAACCCAGAGATTCTGGGTTCATTTCCCACCCCCTGCCCACTTCGATCTGGATTAGCCTCGTACCGGCGTGCGGTCGTTTATCACCCCTGCGTCCTGGACGTTAAAGACTCCAGGCTAGGGGTGGCACTACACTGGCTAAATCGCTCATCACTAGCCGAGACACCAAGCGCCCATTGGGGTGACTAAGCGTACACACAACGCAATTACCTTTACTGATGGCCTTCCTTTTGTGAAACAGGTCGAACACGTATCTCGACTTTTGGTGGTGGATCTTGAATATGGGCCACAGTGACTCCACTTTCCGCTTGCCCTCGTGTGATTCCGTCTCGCCTGAAACAATGACAGTAGTGAACGACAGCGTCCAAACCCATTGTCTGAGCGCTCACGAACATTCCCGCATCTTCTGTTCCAGCTCGTCCAAAGTAGGTTCGATGAGCTCCCAGCCTTCCGGAGGTGGTTTCTTGCTCCGGCGGACTTTACCCATGCTCGACGACTCTCGAATAAACTCTTTTTGTTTGTTTTATTTAGGAGAAATAACAGAGTCAGTAAACTACTACTGATCTAAATGCGCATCGCCTGGCTACGACTGGCACTGGCTCGTTGCACCTTGTAGATTGGTTGTGGTTGGCTATTAGTTCAATATAGAACAACAATGTGCAACAAAAATACGCCATTTGTGTGATTTTTTTTAGAAAACTAAATAATCATAGTAGAATATACTATACGTAAATTACGTATGGTAAAACAAATTTTGAATTGTAGGGCCCGTTAAAGCCCAAAGAGACTTTTCGAGAGTTTGTCTGGCAACCAAGAAAACCGAAACAGGCCAGACAAGCTAACGACCGTTATGGATGGCATTTTTAGTCATTCAGGGAGCATGCGATAACGTAAATAAGGAAATTCTGTGGACACAGCTAAAGGAATCAGGTTTAAATTCGAAATTTGTGAGGTTTTTGCAGGAAGTGCACACGGACAATACAGTAACTATAGCATGGGAGGCTGAAGCCAGAGAGCCAGCAGCCACAAGGCGTGGGCTTAGGTTGGGAATTTGAGATGTCCTCTGTCGGGCTCTAGTTTTTAATATATACTTAAGAAAGTTGGAAAAAAGACTAGAGAAAAGTGAATTGTGCTTCAATAGACCGTACATGGAGAGGGGGAAAATAGTGAGGAAGAAATCATCAGGCCGTATGTATGTTTATGTTTTTTTAGAGCGCAGCTCTTAGGGCCCGTTTCCGGCTTGAGCGGCGTCGGCGTCGCCGTCGGCGTAACCGCGAGGTCACGTGACCCCCCCGAGGTCACCTGACCCCCCCGAGGTCACGTGACACCCCTAGGTCACGTGACCCCCGAGGTCACGTGACCCCCAGAAGTCACGTGACCCCCTGAAGTCACGTGACCCCCTGAAGTCACGTGACCCCCTTAGGTCACGTGACCCCCTTAGGTCACGTGACCCCTTGAGGTCACGTGACCCCCTAAGGTCATGTGACCCTTCAGGTCACGTGAGCCCCTGAGGTCACGTGACCCCATGAGGTCACGTGACCTTAGGGGTCACGTGACTTCTGGGGGTGACGTGACCTCAAAAGGTCACGTGACCTAAGGGGGTCACGTGACCTAAGGGGGTCACGTGACTTCAGGGGGTCACGTGACTTCTGGGGGGTCACGTGACCTAGGGGTGTCACGTGACCCCCAGAAGTCACGTGACCCCCTTGAGGTCACGTGACCCCATGAGGTCACGTGACCCCCTGAAGTCACGTGACCCCCTTGAGGTCACGTGACCTCAAGGAGTCACCTATCCCTCAGTACGCTTCCATCTTCCTCCTCAAGAGCTGCGCTCTAACCGGCGTTACAGGGAATTGTAAACGGCTTTCATTTTTTTTTTCTGTATAAAAGCTTTCTTCGTCCAATAAACGCATATTATAAAATAAGATATTATAAGAGCATACAAGAACCATATGGAACAATATACGTATATATAAGAAGTAATAAGGAACTGATAAGAAGTTTCCGATAACTTGTTATATAATTATATATTGTTTTTATATGTTGTTATATGGTTCTTGAATGTTCTTATACGGTCTTATTCGATCATATCTGGGTAGTACGGCGCTACCGTACCGCCCGCGTATTCGGAACAACCTGACCGGATGGATGGATGCAGGGAGTTTATTCATCTATCCATCCAAACTACCTTTTTTTTTTTTTTAACGAGAAAGATTTGTTAAAGATACAGAATAACATAGAGATAGATATGGTGGACAGGTACAAATATCTAAGAGTGTGGATCAACGAAGGAAAGAGATACGTCGAGGAATATTAGACATAATTGGCAAAGGTAAAAGGAATTCTGCCCTTATGAAGCACAGGACGTGACACGAAGTGGTGCGAAGTGTACAAATGCTATCAGGATGGTATAGCAATGGTATCAGGATTGACCTTTGGTAATATGAGTTCTGAAGTTCAGGCGAAATTGGAAATAGGGCAAAGGAGGGTTGGCAGGATAGCTCTAGGGGCACATGAGAATACTCCAGACGAGGGAGTTCGGGGTGATATGGGCTGGTCATTGTTTGAGAGCATAAAGGCAGTGAGTAAAATAAACTTTTTCCAAAGACACGCGGTGGGCGCATAAGATCTGTAAATATCTGTATATAAGTGATCCGAACACAAGATGGGGGGGACGTGTCGGACACGAAAGCTTGGGATGAAATTTCTGCAGACGTGCAATGGGGTGGAGCAAACGCGTTCAGTGGAAAAGGAAGAGTCCGTCTCGTAGAACTCGATTCTTTCTGGCAGAAGATTCCCTCGTTTCCTTTCTTTTCTCCTTGCCTTTGCCTTCTCGCCCTTTTACGTCCTCCTCGCACACCTGCAAAACGTCGCCGGTCCCCCCTGCCTCCCCCTTCGTCCCTACTGGGCATAATTCGTGCAACTCTTTGTATGTCTACTGATAGCCACTAAAGCATAACACAAAATTTAAGAAAAAAAAAATTTTTTTTTTTGTAGCTTGTTCTGTTGGACGATTTTGTGAAGGACTTACGAGTACCTTTCAGGAAAAGATTAGGGTCAATGGCGCTGGGCGGTTAAACTGTTAATTGCGTTTCTTTCTTTTTTTTTTTTTTATTACGCGCCAAGCTTAGTTTTAATGACGCGTGTTCCTTGTCAGGACCACTAGCCGAGTAAAACCCTGAATAGACCGCTCGTTGCAAGAATTCATAGCAGCATTCGATTTTTTTACGTCGATACCATATATTTTCCTACTTCCTTCTCCGACATTGTGACGTAACCACTCGCAGCGCTACGGCCTTCTCTTCTGGGAGATGTTGCTCTTACCGCTCATTCACACTGGAAGCGGATCCGCGTTCGCAAAGCGGTTGCGAACGCGTTTGTATAGACGCTTTACACACGCGCCAGATTGAGCCGCCATAGCCGCCCTTCCCTTGTCTTACCGAAATGCCGAGCCACTGAAGCGGGCGTTGACGGGTGTTCACAAGGGCCTATGCTGGGCACAAGAACACAGTACCATCTAAAATGGCAATAACCTGTCCTGCTGTGGTAATGATGAAGTAAAGTGAACGGAATAAGAGGTATAACAAAAACTGAAGGTCAGTTATGGCGGCGCCCATGCACAGCTGCTGTAAAGCGTCTATAAAGACCCAGTGCAATTGCACGCGCACTCGATGACATCAAGTGCGCGTGCAATTGTACTGGATCTTGATACAACCGCGTTCGCAACCGCTTTGCGAACGCGGATCCGCTTCCAGTGTGAATGAGCGGTTACTGCGCTGAAAGCTACCACCGCTATCTTTGCTCGCTCGACGTGTGCGACGCGAGGAAGCTCGCCGCGCTGGGTGAGCGCGCGCTTTAGCTGCTACTGCATACACATTGGGGTAGGCCCGTGGGGTAGGCCCACGGTGTAAGATACACTCTTTAGGTGAGGACACGGCGGGGTTGAACGCGCTGCGCGAAGAATCAGATAGTGTTCGTTCGACGGGCATCCGAAAGGCTGCATCATTCCGCTGCCACCGTGCCCGCGGCTGACAGTGTCGCCGGCGGCCAAACGGCGAAACTGTGTGAGAGGGAAAAAAATTATCTCGTTGGCCATGACACCCCGGTGCACCGTGGTCTTTCTGCACGTGTGACAACCTCGCTGGAGCTCTGCGCGTGCGGTACATGAGGTGGCACGAGCCGTCTTGTACGTGCCCACGGGTCGACAAGTCACCTGCCGGCGCCGCTTCAAACCACAGTGAGAGAAAGCGAAGAGCGAACTTTATCGGGGCACGTCGCGAGGAGCGCGCTGTCCTCACCTCATCTTACACCGTGGGTAGGCCACACAACCTCGTCCCGAGGCTCACTTCCAGGCGACGCAGCCTGTACCGCGAGCCACGCGCTCCTCTGTTCGTATTTAATTTTTTCCCGCTAGTACGTCAAACGTTCATTCCATCGAATGAGGATCGTTGTTCTTGGTAGACGGAATGTTTACTTCTCGACAAGAATTTAAAATATGACGTCCAGTAAATATAAACACTTGCAAGCACGGCGCCTCACTGGGGCCCCGTGCGCGCAAGCATATATGTGCAGCTTGGGCGTGAACGTAGCTTTGTCAAGCTTGCAACTGTATGAAAGAGCCTTTTAGGTCCGTTCGCACACGTGCAATAGAGGGTTGACGTGGATGTTGCACCAATGGAAATATGCTTTCTGTGCAGTTGTTGAAAGAAAAGAACCCCGAAACTCACTGGGGCAAGTGGGGGTCAGCGCGCTAGAGGATAGCTGTCAGACTCACTTCGGTTTCAAGTCCGAAGGTATTTCCGTGGTCGCGAATAGGTAACACAGCAGATTACATCTTTAGAGGGGTGGGTAGGTGAAAGGGCGAAGCTTCAAGAGTGTAAAAGCGAAGGAAGAAGGCACGGTTTCCACTAGGGAGCCTTCATGTGCGCTTTGCTAGGGTGATGCCACCCTTTGTAATACCACTCGCCGACAAACCAGCAGCCATTTTGTTCCTCGGCGATAATCCGTGGGGCTTATAACCCTCCCGGAAACAAGCACCTTATCTCAGAAGTTCGGAGCAGCGTTGTGGAACCCACGGAGGGAGGATTAGCATTTTCCCCCTCGGATGGGATTACCGATGGGCACAAAGGCCACTTTCCGGCGCACGGGGAAACAATGAGAGGAACAAAATGGCGGTGGAAGAGGGTGTGGGAAAGGGAAACAGGCAGTTGGCATCACTCTATGCGAAGCGCACATGAAGGCACTCTAGTTTCCACATTTCTTCGGGGATTACTGGCCTCTGGGCTAATCTCTTTTAATCCTTTGAAAGTGTTTTCGTCTTCCCTCCAACGCCAACAACAGAACAGAGTGTATTTTCCTTGTTCTCGTTGAGGGGAGGAAGGAAGGTTTGTGAGGGAGGGGTTCCTCCTTTCTGCTAGAGATGGATGTGGGAAGAGAAAATGCAGGGAAAAGTTACTGGCGCGCTGCGTTCACCAAAACAAATACCGCCAGCTTGGAAAACAACTCGGGCGTTCCAGTGTGCTGCCCTTGGCTGCCGTGTTGTTGCCGCGTTCTCTGCAGGTTTGTTGGAATATGGTATACGCTCTTGTTGCGCACCGCAG